ACGTTTCTTGTGTAATATTTACTTTTATCCGTTGTTTGTAATCATCAATTGATTCTGGTTTGGTAGACCTTTGATTTTAAAATAACCCCACAAAAAATCAAGTGTCTTTAAATCAGGAAACCGAGCCGGCCATTCGCCTACCCTATTTGGATAAGTCTCATTAAATGAAAACAAAAATTTTATTCGATAATTTTATTTAAACTTATAATATCTTAGCAACCATTGAACAGATTTTAGATTTTATAAATGAGTTGGGAGTAGAAATGCCCTCTTGGCACTCCTTAAATAGGCACCTATTAATTTGACTTTAAAAAATAGTATACTTAAAATCCTTTTGTTTGATGACGATACCTTTATGCGTTCAAAAGATAACAGGGGGTGTCCGTGATTTACCAAGTGACTTTTTTTAACAGCACCCCAAAATTTGTTACTATAAAAAAGTTCTTAATAAATATACCTATTAAAGTGCCGAAAACACGATATTAAATAACATGGATTTTTTTTACTTTTTCTTTTTTTCTCTTTAACAGCAATATCCAATAAATATTTTTGTATAAAATTAAATGCTCTACAAAAAAGCTTTTCCACCATTTTACGATAAAATTACATATTCAAAAGTATCTCGTTTTCTCAGAAAAACAGAAAACTTTTCTGTTAGACTTTCATTAGATTTTTTTTAATAAATCGGCTTAAGGAGGTTTAAATTTTTTGCTTAAGTTGTGAAACACCCTGTATAAGCCTTCATAAATATTAACGGGAACTTTTAATCGCATCACCCAGTGATTTTCGAAAAACAAAAAACAACCAAACTTAATTGAAATCGTAAGACATGACTTAATAAAGGCTCAATACGCTAATGTTTGATAGTATACATATATGTGTGCACTTATTGGTTGCAAATGGACTTGGTAATTGATTTAAAAATCGCTAAAGTTGAATGAATATCATCTGGGGACCGGTTCTGAATTAAAAAACAGTGCTGTTCAAAGGGTAATGTGGCAAAATCAACTGTTTTAAAAAAATATATAAAATTTTTGAATGTTACAAAGTTCATATTATCTGAAGAACCTTGATAAAATCTATGAGAAAATTATAGATTACTCAAAAATCTGCAAATATTTTGATGTATTTGGTATGTTGGTAGTTGGAACGATTCTTGTAAAGGCGATCACCCAAAGTATCAACTCTCAGTTTATCTAAAAACTGCAATCAAAAATTTATGCCGATAGTCGTTGCGCGTACGATTTTCTTCGACTTTAACTGCAAATTTGCGACTTTAATGACTGGACATCTAAAAAAGTCAATTTTAATTGAATTGTTCTTTAAGGCCCTGTCACTTGATTTCTCTATCTGTTTGCGAGTTGGTTGTTCTTTAATTAGTAGATTAAGTTTTATTTACACGCGAAGATTGTCACCGAGATGCGAGCATTACGCTTTTAATCTGCAGAATTAATCTCTAATTAATATACCGAGTAATCATACTTTACGAGACGGCGCAACTGAATAAAACATATCGAATTTAATGTTATATGTATATGAAGTTATTAAACAAGTTTTACGCGAGTTTTTTTAACCATAAATTATTCTGTAAGGAGTAAATACGTTAATGTTGACTTATTGTGTACAAGTGTCGAACAGGGTGTCCCATTTTTTATTGAGATTTTAAGATAATTAATTATTGGTCAATTAAATACCTTCATATGTTATGTTTTTTTTATAAAAATATGAGAAACTGTTTTAAAAGGTTGTAATCAAAATATATAATTTTTAACAATTTTTAAAACAGTTTGGGAATTGTTACTTAAAAATCTAGTAATGATTCCCAAACCTACTGAAAAAAATACAAAAACGTTGTAAATGTATCTTCTACGCATGTGGTGATTTCAGAGTGCCAACGTATTAACTTAAAATTACTAGCAAAACACTGAAAAAAAAGGATCATATAATAATCGATAACTATTTTAAACGGGATTAAAGCATAAATAACATGTCATAATAAAATATTATCTATCAAGTTTAATAAACGTAATTTTAGTCACGAATTTTAATTGGACCCTAACCCGGCGTTCAAAATTTCAAATTTTGATATAGAAGCAGTTTTTCAGTGAGAGTGAAGAGAATGATTTATAGGCACTTCACGGATAGTTTCCACCAGAAATTTTTAATGCTTTATTAGTTAAGTCCAGTTTACTGCTGGCGAAATCTAAAGTTCAGTACAATTTGCATATAAACTTTTCAAATAGGCATTGAAAGAAAACTTTTTAATACTTTTGTATTTTTGTATTAAGATAATAACTTTAGCCTTTTGACCATTCATGTGGGGTGAATTAAAACAGTAAGTAATAATAGTATATTAAAGAACTAATGTCATAAGACATTTTGTCGCACGCGGACAATTTATAATGGACGAGTGCGATAAAAGGTCTTATGACATGAGTTCTTTATGCTATTTTATCTATTTTGCAAAAATTCTAAAAAAAAATTAATTTTATACCTTAAATTTAATTTGGTCGAATTTTACTTTAGATAGTTGGTATCACAGTCATTGGTTTGACAGTTAATGTCAAAATCGATTCGTCATGCCGTCCTTAATTTACTTATTTACAATAAGCGGCTGTTAATGTTAAAGAAGAATTTTCTTTGGTGTTAAACAAAATTTATTGCCAGACAAGTGTCGTAAGTACTATAAAAATCATAAAAATATTATAACCAATATGCAAAATATTATGCTGTTTAAAGTATAGCCAACATATAGGTTTATATATAAAATCAAAATTTTAAGTTGGATAAATTATCTCATTACAGCACCGAAAGCGGTTGTATGAAGTCATTATGAACGCAAATAGATAAATAATTATTATGTGTATTTTGTAGGTATTTCAGATTTTTTAACTAAAATAAAGTTATATAGTACTATTATTCAGTTTTACAAATATTATTATTATTATAAGATATTTTAGAATCTTTACTTATACAAAGCTTCGCAAATTAAATTTAAACAATTTACTTATATATTATAAAATAAATCCAATTTGTATACCTACACCTCATTTTGATAATATCTGAAAACAAACGGTATGTAAAAATCTGAAAATAGTTAAAAAATATATTACACTAGTTTAAAAAATTCAACAGTGTTCCTTGTTTAACAAAAACTACTTTTTTTAAAGTAAAACAGTTTCATGCTGATTTCAGAAATAATAATAAATAATAAGGTGCAAAAATCATAAATCACATCAGTGCACTGGTTTGGTCGCTAAAGTAAGAAACAATCGACTTTTTCCAAATTTTTTCCAATTTTTTTAACTTCAGAATCTGTCTGCTGAAAATAAAAAAAACCTAAGAAACAGAAATTAAGCCCCCCTATGTTCTAGAGAATTTAATTACGAATATTTTACCTAAGCATGCTTAAAATATTCGTAATTAAATTCGTCAAGATTTAGATTTTATACGGACAATTTTTTAAAGAAATGTATACAGTTTTATAAAACTTTATTTTTTAATATACTTACCTAATATTTTTTATATTCTTCAGATTTTAATATTTTTTGTTATTTAACATTTATTTTTATACATCATTATCTACGTTTGTTTTTAAATTTAAAAAAAGTGCTTCCATACTGAAATTATGTATATTTTAAGCTACACGTTCATATCAACTATCGTTCGGTGTCTGGATTTCATTTGTCAGAAAAAATATACCTACTGTGTAGTGGTAATATTTTAATTTGCTTTAACTGCTTCCCATGGGTCAGAATGAACCAATAACTGCGCAAATTAAATTTTTTTAAAAAATAGAGATTTATTCCTTTATGGAGTTTGCCACAGCATTTTAGTTACAAATATAATATACCTAAAACATTTTTAAAATTAAATAATTAAAAAATTAATTTTTGTACCTTTTTTTTCATTCTTTCCAATGAAGCTATTTTTAATTTTTTTTAATCCAAAATTATGTTTTTAAATTTTCGCAATATATTATATTATATATATATATATATTAATTTAAAAACATAATTTTGGATTAAAAAAAATTAAAAATATCTTCATTGGAAAGAATGAAAAAAAAGGTACAAAAATTAATTTTTTAATTATTTTATTTTAAAAATGTTTAAGGTTTACAATACTTTTTTTAAAGTTCGTCAAAGAAAAACTGTAAACTTTACACCCAAGTACTTATATCTAACCAATGGTAATAAAGCAAAATCCTTTATATGAATCATAGTTATAACTAGTAGGTAAGTAAGTTTGAAAAAGATTAGGAAAGTGAATATTTTTTGGTAGAAAATTTCGTTACATGAAAAATAATTCAGTATTGTAAGTTGGCGGCACTTGCTTAAAATTAAAAAGGAGCGTTATTATTTATAAAAATAAAATTAAAATAAAATTTAGAAAAAAATATTAAAAATAAAAAAAATAAATTGCTTTAAAATATTCACCGTATAAATTCTAAATCTAAAGTTTTTGTAGACACTTGAAATTATTAATAATAGTTGAGTATTTTTATTGTGTTTAACAATTCATAAAATATTGTTACAGAACAATAGATTAAAACGCATCAAACTTTCCCAATTCCTGAAAAAAGCTTCCTGAAATACCACGCGCCGCTATAATTTCGCATAATCGAACTTTCTCCTGCTGTCGGGCGCTTTCCTGCAATTTATATTTGCTTATCTACCGTTTCGTAAAAACCCCGACCGACCAATCGCGCACCGTGACGCTATCAGGTGTTAGAATTCGTGAAAAAAGGGGCGGAAACTGGCGACGCATTGGCCGCTCGTGCATTAGACTGCGAGGGGTGGGGTGACAGGGGCGGGGCCTTCTATTACGGCTTTACGGCACCCAGCGAAATCTTCAGTTGTCCTGTGAGCGTTAGAGAGTTTGGGTGTAGTTCCAAGGATAATAAAGTTAAGTTTATTACGACTTTGAGGATTGACAGTGTTTGTGTCTGGATTTTTGTTAACAACAGTGGAAAATTACATTTTATGCATTAAGAAGATATGGTTATACTGTAAGTACTTTCGTATATAATTGGGTTGTCACATGTCTGCACTGGTTTTATTATTACCAATCATTAAAATGAAATGCCTAAATAATTAAGAAAATATTCTCCTAATTGAGAGTTCGTATGCAATTTATCGTAATTAATTTTAATGATCCCTATTTGTAATAATTTTAAATTACTTGTTCACGTATTTTTATTTAATGATTAACTCGAATTAACATCAATTTTCCGCCCGAAAATACTACTTTAAATTGGAGACCCCAACAGCGGATGAGACGACGAAACTTCCTACTTCTGGGAGTCAAATACCTCGATTTTTAAACCCGTGGTATATTTACGACGATGTTCGACGATATCTTATAATTAATAGAACATGATAATTATTACCTTGTAGTGACAACTGTAAATTATAGTGGATTAATAAGTTACTGCCTTTGGGCAATCAAGCAAACAACTCGATAACTCGCCATAGATTAAATTTATATTCGTTTTTTATTATTTCTATTTATGTAACTTAAATGGTGTAGGAGGGTTTTGATGCAATAAACTTTACTTAAATTAATATACAGGGTGTTCCACGACTTAGTGGACAATATTTTATGGTACTTACACCTGGAACCAAATGGGGATGTCAAGAATAATTAAAATAAATAAATGTAAGTTTCTGTAATGTTATTATAATTTGATATTTATTATAACGCTTTAATAAGGATTAATGAATCTATTAGCGTTTTGTTAAAACTAAAAAGGCAAAAACAATTAAAAATTTGTTACATTTTTAATAACTTCATGGGATTTTAAATAAAATTTAAATATTTCTAAAAAATAATGATTTAAAAAAATAATATGGGTCATTCTACCAAACAAAACATTTATTGGTGTGTTATTATCTACATCAAAAATTACCTAGTAGTACTAGGCTAGTACTAATGTTTTTTTTGTAGATAAAAAATTCGGCAATTTCTATTAAAATTTGATATTTTTTCGGAAAGCTAGACATTTTTTACATATCTGAAGTAGGTACCTACACATGTCATTTTTACTATGGGTTATTTTTTTAAATACGCATTTTTTACAAATTTCTTAGTTTATGTCACAACAAAATTTGACAGATGCATAACCTCAATTATTTAAAAAAAATACGTAAAAATAAAAATATTTAATTGTATTCAAACAAAAAATAACCTTCCCGTGAAAATGACATACCTATTTTGTGTGAAAAAATCTAAAAAAATATCCTATTTGAAATAAAATATCGCATTTTCACTTTAATTTAATTTTTATACCCAGAAAAAAGGCTAGCATAGCATGAATAGGTGAGCCATTAAACCAATGAGATCTTGTAATCCGTATTCCTGAATAACAGTTTCTATAATACCAATAGGTAGTTAGCACTTGGTTTATAATCGTTTACTGTTTTTAAATTAACAACAAAAGTTATCGCTCCTAAATCTATTGATATTCATATTAATATTTATTTGTTAGAATGGTAGAATGCATTAAATACTAATTTGATTTATTTAATAACGTTAATATTGTAATACATTCAACGCAATAAATTTGACATTTAGGCAAAATATTTCCCTATTTTAGTTTAATAGTAATTAATTGAGCAAATAACAATTTAGATTGCTTCAATTTTAATGCATTCAATGACAGCGCTGTTCTTGGTACTATATTAGATTTTTTTCTGTGTAGGTCTTTCGTTACCTATAATAAAGAATGGATATTTTCATTAAAAAGCTTTTTGTATTTTTATAAAAACATTATCTACATAAAAACACTAACTAAAAAGTTTTTAAAAATATACTTAAAATTTAAAAAATCATGTAGGTGAAGAGAATAACTTAATTAAATTAAAAAAAAAATACGCCGGGGTCACATTTTATAAAAAAAAATTATTTGGTGGAATTACTCATATATAACTAAAATTAAGGATACCTACATTAAATTTTAACAATTTATTATATTAAGTTTTTTGCAAAGAATAACGTTTTACGTATATTGGGTTTTTAATTATAAATACCTAATCGCATTGATATAGAAATGTTTTAAAAGTCTACAAAAAATAAATTGCATATGAATATAATATTAGATATAAATTTTAAAAAATTATAGAAAATATCTTAAACCAGTTCAGAAGTAGGTGGCCTAATTCAATAACAACAAAGCTTTTGTTTGAAATGTTTAAGGATTGTTTAAAAACTATTTTTTTTAGGCACAGTCCCGTTTCCCCCGGCATGTCTTGTCGGGCATACTCGTCGTCCAACGACTGGGACATAAACGACTCCTCAGTCCCGAGAATCAACGATTACGACCCTTTTTCCGAATGGGCAGACGGTCATTGCCGATTGGTTTACCGAGCCGACAACGAAGAAGCGAAACGACACTCGTCAGGCTGGGCCATGAGGAACACCAACAACCACAACGTGCACATACTGAAAAAGAGCTGCTTGGGGGTGCTAGTGTGTTCCCTGAGGTGCACCCTCCCAAGCGGCGACACCGTGCATTTGAGACCGGCGATTTGCGATAAAGCCAGAAAAAAGCAACAAGGTATGTCGAAAACAACACTTTTCAATAAAATCAACAGATATTTATTGTTGTCTTCTTCTTCAGGTAAACCGTGTCCGAACAGGCAGTGCACGGGGAGGTTGGAGATTCTGGCCTGCAGAGGGCACTGCGGTTATCCCGTGACGCATTTCTGGCGACACACGGAGCATGCGATATTTTTTCAAGCCAAAGGAGTCCACGATCATCCCCGACCGGAGGCTAAAAGCACTTCGGAAGCCCGAAGGACTTTGGGAACCGGTAGAAGAGTCAGAGGACTAGCTGTGTTATTAGCCAAAGAAACTTCGTTAGGAAATAAGGTGAGAAAATGAGATCAAGAAAGTCTAATTTGTTGTCCAAGACTTTTGAATAGATGGTAAAAAATTTGAGGCACACACACTTTTATAAGCAAACTATTAAAGTAAAAATTTTGGATGTTTTAGAGTTGTTTTGTTATTAGGTATTTTTATTATTTTCTGTTATAGTTAGTTACGGACTAGTTACTACCTAACTGTAATATTGAACATTTTATAAATTTTAAAACTTTTGAAAAATTTTAAAATATTTCCAGCATAGCCCGTAAATCACCAAACTCGTTTAAAAAAAATGGTAAAAATATTCTTATTTTATTTGGCTATAGATACATTAAAAAAAAACAAACGCAAGACGTATTTTACAAAGGTAGAGATAATTTTAATAATGGACAGTTGTAGACAGGACAAATATTTTTTTGTCCCGTACAATATTAAAATTATTGATAGTTAATAAATATTAGTTACTGATTAGTTACTAACCAACTGTAATATTGAAAATTTTGCAAATTTTAAAATTTTTGTAAATTTTTAAAAATATTTAAAGCATGCACTGTCCACAAATCACAAAACTGGTTTAAATTTTTTTTTTTAGAAAAATTGACTTTTGCTTGCAAAATTTTCAAATTCCAAAATTCAAATTTCCAATTTTTTCGAGAATTTCCGAAGCTAAATAGTATGATTATAATAATTATTAATTTTAATTTAATTCATGAATTATACTGCAGTAAGAATATTCTACCGGGCCGCAAAAAAATTCAACATACAAACTTTCGTTTTATTTGACACTTCAATTCAAAAAATTATAATTTTGTAATTTAACTTTATAAATTACTTATGTAATTGTAAATATAATTTACGTTTATTTTCTTAAATCAATTTAATTTAATTCATTATATAGTTTTATTTTTTTTCTGTAATAAATAATATTTTTTTAAATTAAAATAATGTTACGTTGTTGATTGTTACTTTTTTCAAATGTGTATATTTTCCAAAAAAAAAATCAATTTTTCCCAAAAAAGACCATTTTTTCAAAACCTGTGAAAAAAACGGAAAAAACATGTTTTTTACCAATTTTTCTGTGCTTTTTTCGACAATTTAAAACCCTACCTACAATTTTTTTATATTGTGATTTTTGCCGTCAATTACCGTAAATTTTGAGAAATATTGGAAAATCACAAAATTTTCTAAATTTTGGAAATCGTTTTCTACTCGTCAAACCCATGTCAATGAGGTTGTGAAAAAATAGGCAACCAATCTTACGGCGACCGCCATATTTGATAGATTTACATCTCTCTCCTACTTATGCACAGCCACTTTTATAAATGACGTAACCCCTACGACTTAAAACCGTTTAAAACATATTTTCGATATTAAATTTTATCCCGCATCAGTTGTATTTCAGCAAAATAAATAACTTAACCTCTACGACGTCATGCTCTCCTGATACTTACGGTCTGTTTAAAAACGTGTTATATTTTCCGTGACATTGAACGCTTTAATTTTCCGGACGCTAAAGAAGTTTCACTTAAAAACAATGGTTCCTTGTAGGAACTTCCTACACTATGAGCCAGCCAGCCAACAAAATCAATTTTATAGCAAAAATATAAACTTTTGTACAAAATATATTTTGTAAAAAAGTTTATATAGGATTTAAACATTTAATTTCAAAAAAAATCCATAAATTAACCAGAAAAAAAAACATTTAAAAACATAAAAAACATAAATATAACACTGGGCTACAATTTCGAAAAAAATAGACTCGACACCATTGTTGTAATGTCTCTAGAATTTTGGTATGCTGAATTCAAACTGGTGCCAGATGTTTGGGGGGGGGGCCATCAGGTCTGCATTATTCTAACCCAAAAGTATATCACTAAATAATGTTTCTCCATATTTCACTTTTGGGTTAGAATTTCTCGCAAACCTGACCTGACCTGTGGTTTATCTAGTCCAAAACCTTGTAGTCTTACAATAAAATCGTAAAAAAACATCTACGTACCTATAGGTATTTAGATATGAAAATACTTTAATAAAATATAGTATTGTAAATCAATATTCAAAGATGATATCTAGGAAGATCCTAGAGCAATCAAATGGAGTAGATAATAACAATAATAACAATACTGTTTGAATAATGTTGTTCTTTGAAAACCTAACCTCCGGTATGTAGGTAATGATCGGTTATACTAACAAACAATTTAAAATCAGTAATCATCAAAATGGTTCGTCGATACAAACGGCGGAATAATGAAATAAAACTGATTAATCGGCCACACAAATGTAATTATACGTTACGCAACGGGGTCTTAAACAAATCCCGCGAGCCGTCGTGGTAATTAATTTTGGATTTTTCGATCGGAACAAACGTTCTAGCTCGTGGATATGTCATGGAGTTATTTTACTATCTGCATTTCCTTGCGTCGTAATTTATGACGTGTAGCATTCACTTTATGATTTCGATCGAACATACCGTACGAGATAACCGACGTGCAGAATGCGAGAAATCTTGTACTCGCTTTATAAAATTCTCGATAGCGAGTAGCATTGTCGCTTTTTTAACACGTTTATTATTTATGATTTATTACTTTTATTTGTAACATCGTTCCAAGCATTTCGTTCTTTCTTTAGTTATTCATCAATACGCGCGCAAAATATTAATTCAGAGATTTATCGCTACAAAGAACATATGTATATATCGAAGTACTACAATTACTTATATAATTTATTAATTTTTTCTTTTTGTTTCAGCTTATGTCATATAGAGAACCAAAAAGGCAATGCCGAGATCTTTCAAATCAAAGTCCAAGATCAATAATTCCACCACCACTTATTTCTGACCAGGACAAAGGTAATTTCCATTTAATTAACCAATTAATTTTCTAAAACCATTAAATTTTATCCTCGACATTTATTGAAATCCATTAAATACCAACCTTTGTTTTAAATTTGAAATAAAAAATTCCACAATCCACAATTACCATAAACATAAATTAACTGAAATTTATTGTTCTTTTCAGGATTTTGCTCATGTCCGCCCTTTGAATGCATCTGCAGCTACCAACCATCAATGCTGCCAACCAACATGCAACAATACCCCCACTCCCCCACATCCTACCAACAACCCCAAATGTTGGATTCTTATTGGACCCAGGAACCAGCTCACGCGCAGTCATACCCCACCGAAATCAGCAACAATTTAAATCAACAATACGATTTTGCTAGCATCCAAGCTGACCTATTTCAACCGGAAGAAATATTCCAGTTGGATCAGCCTATTAAGACCGATTTTGTTGCTAATTCGCAGAATGATTTAGCTAGATCTCCGTCGACTTTGCTGGATTTAGGCAGTGGTACTATACATAGAGAGTTTAAAACTGAAGAATACTGGAATCACAATTTAAACAGTGTTTTGAATGATGACAGTAATAATAGTTCGAGTAGTAGGTTCAATCTAAGTCAATCGCCAGACCATACTATGGGTTTAAATAACAATGTTAACCCAGGTCTGGATCAAAATATCTACATGGAGTCAACAAAGCTAGATTTAATGTCATACCAAATGCACAAACAAAATGGCTATCAACACATACAAGAAGACTACAAACCGTATCAAACCTACGACATGCTTGAAAGTAAGATGCACTTTGAGGAACCAAGTTTGCAAAGCTTTGAGACATACCAACCTACAAAATCAATGAAACCAAACTACCAAGAAAAATACCCAGACATATCCCAGTACGCTGAATACAATAACTTCATGAATACCTATAATGATAACAGTAAAATTAGTCAAGAAAATGTTATGTTTAACGATTTGGACTTTAGAATTAATATACCCACTGTAAATAATGTACATTGTAGTCACGACAGCTTCGATGTTCACCCGTAGTTTAAATTTTAATAAAATTAGCTTTTGAGTGCCTTCAACCCTTAACGTTACTATGCTTTCAATGATCTTCAAGTTGTGTGTACTTCTAATTGTTTGTTATATTGTATATACTATGTATAAATAGAGTTGTGATATTATTTTAACAATTCGTTTTATTTTTTATTTACCGTCCATATTAACAACCAACATTTATCTATGTCCCACTCTTCTACATCATACCAACAACCTCAATGTTGGATTCTTATTGCATCCAGGAACTAGCTCACGCTGTCATACCAAACCAAAATTGGCAACAATTTAAATCATCAATATAACTTTGCGAGTATCCAAGCTGACCTATTTCAACCTGAAGAAAATTTCCAGTTGGATAAACCTATTAAGCCTGATTTTGTTGCTAATTTGCAAAATGATTTAGATAGATCTCCGTCGACTTTGCTGGATTTAGTCAGTGGTACTATACATAGAGTTTAAAACTGAAGAATACTGGAATCACAATTTAAACAGTGTTTTGAATGATGACAGTAATAATAGTTCGAGTAGTAGGTTCAATCTAAGTCAATCGCCAGACCATACTATGGGTTTAAATAACAATGTTAACCCCGGTCTGGATCAAAATATCTACATGGAGTCAACAAAGCTAGATTTAATGTCATACCAAATGCACAAACAAAATGGCTATCAACACATACAAGAAGACTACAAACCGTATCAAACCTACGACATGCTTGAAAGTAAGATGCACTTTGAGGAACCAAGTTTGCAAAGCTTTGAGGCGTACCAACCTACAAAATCAATGAAACCAAACTACCAAGAAAAATACCCAGACATATCCCAGTACGCTGAATACAATAACTTCATGAATACCTATAATGATAACAATAAAATTAGTCAAGAAAATGTTATGTTTAACGATTTGGACTTTAGAATTAATATACCCACTGTAAATAATGTACATTGTAGTCACGACAGCTTCGATGTTCACCCGTAGTTTAAATTTTAATAAAATTAGCTTTTGAGTGCCTTCAACCCTTAACGTTACTATGCTTTCAATGATCTTCAAGTTGTGTGTACTTCTAATTGTTTGTTATATTGTATATACTATGTATAAATAGAGTTGTGATATTATTTTAAAAATTCGTTTTATTATTTATTAACCGTCCATATTAACAACCGTCGACTTTGCTGGATTTAGTCAGTGGTACTATACATAGAGAGTTTAAAACTGAATAATACTGGAATCACAATTTAAACAGTGTTTTGAATAATGACAGTAACAATAGTTCGAGTAGTAGGTTCAATCTTAGTCAATAGCCAGACCATACTATGGGATTAAATAACAATGTTAACCCCGGTCTGGATCAAAATATCTACATGGAGTCGACAAAGCTAGATTTAATGTCATACCAAATGCACAAACAAAATGGCTATCAACACAAACAAGAAGTCTACAAACCGTATCAAAACTACGAAATGCTTGAAAGTAAGATGCACTTTGAGGGACCAAGTTTGCAAGCTTTGAGGCATACCAACCTACAAAATCGATGAATCCAAACTACCAAGAAAAATACCCAGACATATATCAGTACGAATAATACAATAACTTCATGAATACCCAGGGCTGGATGCTCCCGTGTACGAGTTTTGGTTCGTGCCGCGCATGACGTCACGTCACACACGAATATTAGTATTAATATTATCAAAGAAAATAGTGAAATACCTGGACATAGTGCGTTTTTATTAAACTTAATATTGAAGAAAGTGTTATAATATGGATAATAGATGCTTTCAGTCCTTTATAACATTTAGAGCTGTAGTTTAAGCATTGTATTTTAAATTAAACTTATAGCCACTGTCCAGTAAACGATTATAGGAAATAGAAGCGGTCTTAACGTTAATATTGTCTATTCTTTTTGTGGCATTTAACCACTGTTTGCACAAATCAAAGTTTTTCGGGAATCGATGAAATTTAATGTTTTTATTTAAAGGGTTTTTCTTGGACTGGTTGTCCGAATTGCATCCAAATATGCCACACCGCATTTTAATAAATGCAAATGGCACGACACAAACTAAAACACAAACAAATAAGTTAACGCAACACAAAAACAATAATAAACAAACAGAACAGGTTAACTCAACGCAATAACAGTAATAACACTGAAAAGTAATTCGAACCTTACCGAACGCAAAAACAACAAGTTAAACAAAAAAAATAGACAAGTTAACACCCAACAGCATCGCAAAAACAAGAATTTTAGCAGCAGATAATTAAAACGCACGTTAAAGATTTAAAAACACTCAACAAGAGACGTATTTAAGCCCCGCCCAACATGCGCACCATCCTATCTTAAGGTGTATGTATCTTGATGAATACCTATAATGATAACAGTAAAATTAGTCAAGAAAACATTATATTATTTTAACATTTTGTTTAATTTTTATTGTACCTACCTTTGATATTATCAACTTTTGGGAAAAATGTTAAAGGTAAGTAAAACTTCAGAGATGTATTTATCTAAATTTATTGCACTTGGCATTTCATATAAAAAAATTTGTAAATATTATACATCGTTTAAATTAAATATTACTTATCAAACTTAGAGGCATTATAAAATAATATAGCATCCAACTATATCATGACAAAAAAATCCCGACACGTACATTAAGATAATAATCATTAGGTACATAATGTGTTTCGTAAGTGACCGGAAATACTGAAAACAAGGAAAAATAAAACAAATTGCGGCCGAAACCGCTTACAGAGCCTTCTTTCAGATCCGGAATAACAAAAATTATCACAAAAAAACAAACAAATATATGTCACTTCTGGAAATTCATGTATGATATTTAAGCTATATTGTAAATACTAAGTATTAAATAAAACTGTACTTTTTATATAGTAAATGGGTGGGAAAATTTATTTATGTATTTAAATAAATTATTTTTATAACTATACAACTCTTTCCAATCACAATCTTCGACCAACCAAGAATTTTTGATCCAGTTTATTTTGATTTATTTCTTCAACAATGCAGTAATGCTTTGAAGAAACAAGAATATAGACATTTAGATAAATATTATATTGAATATTGTTTAATATAAATAAATTTCTGCAATGTTCCAACATTCTGGGACCAAAATTGAATTTTGATTTAAATCTTGGAGGAAAACTTAATATTTTTGGTCCTGTCTTATCACACAAAAACAAACAGGGTTGTACAAAAATAACGGTAACACTTGTCCTGTATATTTCGAAAAGGTTAATATACTGGGTGATGCTATAATATATCTACAAAAAGGCGTTATTTTATCACATTAAATAAAAGTTATCGATTTTCTTCAATACGTGTACACTACCTTGATTTTATCGGCTAGTCGAGTAGGTTACACTCTAAATATTAGTCTTTACGTTTATTCACAATACAGGCCTAAAATTACTAGGTAACTTTGTGTCAAAACGTAAAATTCATTATAAAATCATTTGTGTTTTAAAACAAAATCACCTTGCATTAGCAGGTGGCTTTAAATCAAGCATTTTCCATAAATAATACTTTCTTCCTGAAAAATAAGCAATTGGCGAGTACCCTATTTTATGATGAAAAAAATTAGTAGCACACAACGGGGAAGCAAAAGTTAAAAGGTAAACACTGTGTTTATATGTTTTTGTGTGTGTTCTACATACTTTTTAAAGGTTTTAAAAAACCACTAAACTGGTTCGTTTTTGCCAAAAATACTGCTCACCACCATTCCTAACCAGTTGGTTTTTTTGACCAATTTATTTGAACTAACCAAGTACCTAAATAAGTAAATAACCATTAACAAAAGTTGGGTTACAAAAAATATGAGGAAAAGAAAATTACTGTAATAATTTCAGTGCTTTTTTTCAAAAATAAAGTAAAATTTATGAGATGTGCATCAGCTTTATCAACGTGAAGATTTCAAAAATGATTTTTATGAATATTTACACAATATTAATGTTTTTAAAAGCACCAATCTACCGCGCATACAAAATTTGAAAATGTCTTTATACTTGATAAAACCTTATATTATTATACATATAAATAAAATTGTACAATTTAAGCCGAATTTTTCTTTGTGAAAAACAAGAAAACCGATAAACTGTAGTGTAGCTAAATATTTACAAAACAAAGATTTTACTTCAAAATAATTTTGTATTTTTAGGTTAATTTGAACCTACCGGTCATCGGAACTCAAATTTTCTATCGCCACCGCCGCTTCTTCGACGACTTCCTCCACCACGCCGCTGTCGTGGAAAATCTTCTCGATGCTTTCCGGAAGAATTTCCTCCGGCGGCTCGATAATGGCAGTGGATTCCACCGGTTGCGTTTCCGGTTCCGGTCGTTCTTGCTGTTCGGATTCCTCCACCGGATCTTCCGGAATCGAAACAGGTCTGTTGTCCTTCCAAGTGGACGTGTCCATGTTCTCCGCGGGTTTTACTTTGACCCTGAAGAATTTCTTGCCTTTGGGCACGTTGTATCTGTTGTCGTCCTAAAATAAAAACGAACATTGCGGAAACTTGCAAAGCACACCAAATGGCGTCAGTAAATTTAATATCTTCTCACGAATTAAAGGTTAACTAAGTTGCAGAAGACCTATGAAGAGATGGTCGATTTGAAGTCTAAGCTTTGGAAGTTAAAGGAAGATCACCACGCTTAAATGAAGAAACAGTTGAGCGATAAAGCGAGCGAGAAAGATGGGCCTTTCCATCTCTAATCTACCAGGCAAAAAGGGGTAGGTCGTTATTTTTTAACAATATTTTTTTGCAGTTTCTCTGCAATGTATCGGTCGTTACACATTTTTTTTATAAATTTTAGGTAAATGTTTACTACTAAATAATATAACAAAAAAATATAAAATGTAGTAAAACTTATACATTCTGGCAACACTGCCCCTGTGCATTTTTGTTGTTGTCGATAATGTAGGTCCCATTTTTTAGTTTTTTAAGGTTGGCAACACTAATTTTAAGAAAAAATGGCGAAGAGACGCCCACTGTGTTTTAAGTAAATTAAAGTTTATAAATCAAGAAGTGTTATTATTTCCGTCCCGGACCTGACTACAAAAAAAAAAAATGAATTCACTTAATTTTTTTTAAATTGTTTTTTTCTAAAAAAAGGCAAAAAATTTAGATCAAAATTTTGACATTGACAATTTTTTTTACTGCATATTTTTTTTTTGTTTAAAGTTGGTGATATGAACAACTTTCACCAAAAGTAATTGTTGTAAGGAAGTGAATTTAACTCTTGAATAAATAAGTTCATTATTAAATGTAGAATCAGTTTGTTATAAATAGTGTTATTTTTATTATTACTACTATAATCTAAGTTCTCAAATATTATAATCAGTGGTCAATTATTTAATATTTAATTTTAACTATATTTTAACATCATTTCATCTTGTTCTTGTGAAAGAAGGAATAAGCTGAACTTTGTATCTGAATGGTTGTGGTTAGACATACCAAATTACAAATTTATTATAATCATTATTTTATGTTTATAATTATTATATTTATATTACATTTACTTTGACATATTATATTGTAATGTGTGTGTAATGTACCATTTTATTACATACACTGCGCGTCAAAATTAACGCATAACAAGTAAAAAAAATCCAACTCTAAAACGCCTTTACCAATCTTTATAAAATTTTGGATAAAAATACTTTAACTTATATATATATATATATCTCAGTTTACGTGTTCAAGGGTTTTTCGAGAAAATATCCTTAAGGACCTTTTATTTAATAATAAAAAACGCTCGAAAAAAAACTTTTATAGGGAATTTTTTTTAAGTAAATAAAAATATGCTGTGAAAGACCGTATTTTTGTTGTACAAATCAAACAAACAGTAACAAAAATACAGCGCTTCAAAGTCGTCAAAAATTACCGCTTTTTAACAAAATAATCATAAAGGGGTCATTTTTACCGACTTTGAAGCGATTAATCTTCGTTACTGTTCGTTTGATTTGTACAAAATTTTCAGGGTATACTAACAAAAATACGGTCTTTAACAGCATATTTATTATTTAGTTAAAAATCTCTAAAAGTTATTTTTGGAACGTTTTTTTATTATTAAATAAAAGGGCTTTAAAAATATTTTTTCGAAAAACCCTCAAACCGAAAACTGAGATATAAGTTGAAGTATTTTTATACAAAATTTCATAAAGATTGGTAAAGTTGTTTTAGAGTTAGAATTTTTTTACTTATTAAGCGTTAATTTTGACGCGCAGTGTATTTCTATTTAACATTTACAAACTTTATTTGGAACAGTTTATCTTATTTTATTTATTTGATGTATGTATGTAGTTTTGTTTGGCCGAGACTCTGCTCATTTGACACAGATCGTTTATTTATTTGATAAATTGATATTCTTTCATCAATATGATGAGACTTTCATTCAAGTTCTGCATATCAAATGAGTTATTTATTTAGGAAACTTTGTTGACGGATTTTGGTAAGGTCGGTGGATACAGCCAATAATTTCCAATCAACAAATTTAGATTGACAAAGAATGGTTAGCTAGGGGGTCTTTCTCATCTCAAATCGACCAGGCAAAAAGGGGTAGGTCGTTATTTTTCAACCAAATTTTGTTTTCTCTACTGAAATCGATGAAACCCGTATTTTTTCTTTTTGTTTAAATTTGTTTTGCTCACCCGTAGGAAATTTTTGAAAATTGGACAGAAACATCGATTTTTCTCTTTTTACGAGTGACATTTTTTCCTAAAAATGCGATAACTTTGCAAAAATGTATCAATCGTTACACGTTTTATATAAATTATAGGTAAATATGAACAACTTTCACCAAAAGTCCCGAGTTGGCTAAATTCGTCGTTTCGGAATTATTATTTTTTTAATGAAAATGACATTTTCTACTAAATTCGTGGTTTATCGCAAATTTTTGGTATTTTTTCTACTCCCACCTTTAAAACGTCCATTATCGTACATGTTTCCATGACACTAAGTGACCTTTTAAATACACATTGAAAAGTTGTGGCTTTATGGCGTTTTAGTCACGGGCTGAAGTTAGCAACAGGTTTTTAGTCACGGGGTGAAGTTAGCTTTAAGTTAGTTGGCAGTTGTCAAATGTCATACAATCGTTAAAATAAAGTGCCCTTCTTGTAAAATAATACTAAATGTGAAAATTATTTTATTATCGCAATACAAAAATAGAAAAGCAATAAATAGTTTCTTAACGCCAATATTTGAAAAGTTTATATGAACACTGTACTGACCTTTTAATTTCGCCGAAAGTAAACTGGAAAGGTATAACTTAAATTCGAGCTCGGACTCCACCGTGCAGTGCTCATAAAACATTGTCTTTACTTTCACTGAGAAAAAACTCTTGTTAATCCATTATCAACGAAAATATTTCGATTTATAATAACACAGAAAAAATTGACATTTGACGGTACCTAACACAGATTCCCCTATTGTTTTATAGATGGCGCTCTATACAAATATTTGATTTAAATCATTTTAAGATAATAATAAGTATTTGTCGTAGAAAAAGTATAGTATGCAACTCGTTAATAAACTTTTCTAAAATGGCGTTTATCAAACTTGATACATAATATACTATTATGCTCATGAATCTGGGGTAACCTTTATAAAGTGTAATTTAGAACTTGTTGACATATTTAACATATCTTTGTCACTTCTGGTTTCACCGGAAATGGTCTTAAGTAAGTAAATTAAATTATTAAAGATTTTAGAGTAAAATGTAAATTCTTAATATTTTTGCCTGTGTTCCTTTAAAACGATGTAAAAGTATACATAAGTTAATTTTGGTTAAAATAATAAAAAGTAAGCATTAAATACCTAAAAGTAATGTCAAATGCACAAGAAACCTATAAAAACGGGATTTCGAAAAAATGTAGAACACATAAAATTCCGAAAAAATTTGGTCGGTTACCAGATATGAGTGAGGCAGTCGCGGAACTCTTTTTGACTAAGGCTCTATCAGGAAGGGAAATAAGTATTAAGCCCAAGAGGGCCAGAAACTAATGCGCATGTTAATTATGTTTAGAAATAAAAAAAAATATTTGATTTTATATTTTGTTTTTTAATTTATTGCAAGAGATTCCCTACATCCCACAAAAGTTTGAAAGCCTTCCTAATTTATTTACTTCTGTACACACTTTAAAACGTAATAAACATTCAAATTTAATTAAGAGTTTGAAAGCGATATTATTAAAAAATGCATTAATATTTGGTATCAAATTAAAAAAAGTAGATTTCTTTTATGATCAACGAACTTTTATTAAAAAAAAATAGTTTTGGCATAAAGTATAGTTTTTCAATTTTTAAAAGCTCTTATAAACCAGTACTGCAAAAAAGAATAAAATCGTATTTTTTCCAGACTACTTGGACCAACATGAAGCAGAAAAGCCAATTCAAGGCACTCTAGATATACAAATTAAATTAAAAAATTATTTGACCTGTCAAAAATTGACAAATGACATATGTTGTATTTAAAATTTTATTTTGAATATTGATATGTAAAAATTCATAGGGTGTTTCATTAAAATATAAAAAGACCATTCGGTGAAACCATAAGTGACGAAAATATGTTAAATATGTCAAAAGTTACAAATTACACTTTATAAAGGTCACCCCAGTTTTATGACCCTATAGATAAAATACCAAATTTTTGCGATGATCCACGAATTTACTAGAAAATGGCCTTTTCATTAAAAAAATAATAATTCCGAAACGATTAATTTAGCCAACAAAAAATGTTCATATTATCAACTTCAAAAGAAAAAAATATGAAGTAAAAAAAAATGTGGCAATGTCAAAATTTTTACCTTAATTTTTTTGCCTTTTTTAGAAAAAAACAATTTAAAAAAAAATTGAGGGAATTCACTTAATTTTTTATATATTTTTTGTATTGGCGATGTCAGTTAAATACGAAACAACGAAAGTATACTTCTGAAAATGAAAAAAAACGTTTGAAATGCAAAAAGATCGGAGGTTGTAGAGTTGTAAAAAAAACAAATAACGAGCTAAGGGAGCACAGTAAACAATTGGACGAAGAAAAGCACTTGATTCGAGAATGATTCGAAGAAAATTGTCGAGGAAATGGAGCACAAGGAATACGGAACCTACCTTCTTTGACATGCAGTACTCTTTTTCGATCACCTCTCCAAAGACTCGTTGCTTGTTGGGCGCCCCATTTACGATCTCCAGCCCCATGGCGGGTAAATAGTCGCAATGGAGGAAGTAGAGTTTTCCCTCAAGGTCAAGTCGAAAGCAATGGTGCGATTCGTCCCAATAGATTTCGACCTTCAAACCTTTGACGCAACGTTCTGTGTATGACTTGCTGCTTCGTCTAGTTCCGGTACTAGTGGTCGACTCGCACATACCTTAAAATAAAAAAGTTTTGAGTAAAAAATAAATATTTTTTTTTTGTAAAATATATTTTATGCAAGCGTTATTTAAATTAAGGTTTTTAATTAAGTTTACTTACCTACCTTTATTTAAGATTATGATTTTTAGTATTTTTATTATAAATGAAGATGCAATAATAATGCAGTCAAAAACTAAAGAAGAAAACACAAAGTATTTTAAAAATTATATTTAAAATATATCAACTAAATTTAGAATTATATACCTATGAAATAAAAAGATACAAATTGGAAAAGTATATAAGTTAATAGTCACCATATTGATATTAAAAATAATAAAAATATACAGGCGTATACAGGGTAATTAATTAATATAGCAAAAAAAATCTGGATGAGACTCCTTGCATAAAATTAAGAAAAAACTTCAGTTAGAAATTTAAGAATGATGAATTTGAAATTGTTGCTTATTTTAATAATTTTTTATTTTTTATATTGTTATAAGATTACAATTTTTGTTTATGTTTATATTGTTATGAAAATAATTAAGTTATTCATGTACTGATTTTAAAATGTTACATGGGAGAGTGGAAGATCGGCCTTGCCGAACTCTTCCCAATTGTGAAATGTACCTTATTTCTTTTCACAATAAACATTATTATTATTATAACGCATAACTCTTCGTTTTTTGCATTTTACCTGTAACTTGTTTTCCACATTTTAAACTATAAATTTTATTGGATTATTGCAAAAGAACTTCTTATATAGTCATACGTTAGAATTCATTCTATTTATGTTTATTTGATACTAATATATTTTGTAGTACTTAAAGACTAATAAAAAACCGATTTTGTCCATATAAAGTGTTTAATTTTTGTACTTGTCACATCCAAAACAAAGTAAAATTTTAAAAACAAATAGAAAAGTAAAAAATCGAAAAAATTACTATAAGTTTAACTTTAACCTTAAATAACTTTTAAATCAGTGAATTTATAAAAAAAATCATAAGAAAGCTTTTTTGTACAGCATTTAATTTCCTATAAAAATATGTTTCTCTTATTGCTGTATATTAACTTGCTCGGGAGAAAAACAAATAAATGTAAAACTTGCCGAAACCTCATGTTATTTAAATGGAAAATGTATCGTCTTTGTGGCATGGCTTAATATAAATATATTTTTTTTAATTTTTTAATATTTTTTTTAAGTCATAAACTAAAAATTTAGGGGGCGCTGCGAACAAAAAAAACAAGTTAGAGTAAACAGACACCCTAATGTACCTACATCGAATGTTTTATATGGTTTAGGTATAGATAATACCAAAATAGTTTTTAATGTCTTAGTACATACCTTTAGGAACAAACTACACCAGTTTATACTTAAAAAATATTTTGATCCGCTAAGACAAACTGTCGTCAACGTGTTGTTGCGGTCATTAGGCGCATCCCCATTATATGAGAGAATTTTCAACCAAAAGTTCAAGTTCAAGTAAGAGATGTCGCAACATGTACCTTAGTTTACCAAAACAAATGTACTTGGGGGTGAACACTAGGTTCCAAATGAAATTTAATGCTTATTGATAGTAATTAAATTACTAAAAAGCTAATGTACATGTGTATGTACGCCAGGTCTGAAGGGGTTAAGGAGAATTCATTCTATTTATGTTTATAAGAAAAAATTGAACCTACACCTCGCCAAAGTTTTTTGTTTTGATTGCGTTCCACCAACTTCAAATACCGACAGACAGCTGTTTCGACTTATATTGGGTCTCATCAGTGTCGGGCAACTTGGTGTAGTGGAACACAATCAAAACAAAGGACTCCCTGAGTTTATATGCTCGGTTGGTAAGCCAACAGAGGCGAGATGTAAGAACATCAGGTGATCCTCACCGTCAAACGACGTGGCCTTTGCCGCAATCGGTACATACTATGCAACCGGGACTGCACACAGCAATTGTATCACAGATACTAATATGGCCTAAAGGAATCTAGTATTAACCCAACCGGGCTAAACATTAAGGTAAACATTCAATTTTCTTAGTTTCTTTAAGAAACTTTCTCGACCCATAACTGGTAATATTCATAAGAAAAAATTGAGCCTACACCTCGCCAAAGTTTTTTGTTTTGATTGCGTTCCACCAACTTCAAATACCGACAGACAGCTGTTTCGACCTATATAATATAATTATATAATTATAATAATTGGGTCTCATCAGTGTCGGGCAACTTGGTGTAGTGGAACACAATCAAAACAAAGGACTCCCTGAGCTTATATGCTCGGTTGGTAAGCCAGTTATGGGTCAATAAAGTTTCTTAAAGAAACTAAGAAAATTGAATGTTTACCTATTTATGTTTATTTGTTACTAATATATTTTGTAGTACCTAAAGACTAATAAAACACCGATTTTGTCCATATAAAGTGTAAATATTAATAGTAAATTTTTGTACTTGTAACACCCGAAACAGAACCATGGTAACACCCAAAACAAAGTAAAATTTTATAAAAGAAATAGTAAAACGTTATTTGTGACAGTGATTATGTGGTAGATGGTTGGCAAATATTATACTTTTGGAGGCCTGTAATTTTTAGGAATGTTTTCCTAAGGAAATTCGCTGAATTTTAAATATATGTAACAATGGTCAGGACATAGAGGCAGAAACGTGAAACACCCGAAACGCAGTTTTTTACTTTTAAAATCGTTATCCTATAATATACGATCTATATGCTAAATTGTACTAATTTTACAATTTAGATTTTGGTTGAACAAATGTAATACCCGGAACGATGGAATGACCCCTTATAACTACGAAACTTTTCTCTGATTTTACTGAAGTTGTAATAGAAGAATACTTGGTTCCAAATATGCAATAAAAAATTGCATGTTACAACCCAATTAAAACTTCGTGTGCTTGCTTATGATAATAATGGCCACCTTTTAATTTAATATATTTATTCCAGTGGCGTCCCACTGCTTTTGCTTTATTTTGATAATTACCAAACGTAACAATTCAAAATAAAACCTTTCCTCTCTATACTGTTTTGTGTTCGAGTAAAACATTTCTCTTTACTTATTAAACCAAAATTTTAACACTTTGGAAATTGGTTAATATTTTTTTTTCTTATTTTCATGCACGGAATATCATGTAAAATTTTGTTAGCAAAATTAATGAATCACCCTGTATATGATAGTATAGTCTAACAATAAGAAAATAACACTGGTATAAAATATATTACTATAAAGAGTTTACCGAAATTACATTTTAAAAATTGAATATAAAAAATATATCAACAATTAAATTTAAAAAAAATAAAAGTCATGCTACTTTATAAACAACACTTAAAAAGATAAGAAAGCATAAATAAAATAAAAAAAAGTTTGAACACTACATAAAAATAAATTGCACTACTTACTTTCAACGGTGGACGCCGTCATGGCGCTTTCGTTGCCGGAAGTGGACGTCACCGCACCTTCCGGTATCGTTTGCGCGCCGCTATCGATCACAGCCACCGACGCCGTCATATCCGGTTGGGATGCGGGCTTTTTTATCGAGTCCAAGTCGCGCTTCAAGGCTTCGTTTTCCCGCTTGAGGTTGTCGAATTTTTCCTGAAGTTCCGCCTTTTCTTTCGTGTCGGTGGACGACGTGACCATTTCCGCTTCCGTTAGCTGCTGTATGGTGCCCTTGTACTTGATTATCTCCAGGTTGAGATTCCTCTCGCGCTCCCTCAGCACGTCGATTTGCTTCTCCTTTTCTTCGCCGATTTTCCTCGAGAGATCCTCGATCAGCGAACGCTTTTCCTCGGCGAACTTTTCCTCCATGTGGGCTATCCTTTCGTCCAGCAATTTCTCCCAGCGCGATCTCTCCTGCTCCACGGCTTCTTTAACCGCCCAATCTCTTTGTATTTCGAACGTTTCCTTCATCTGCAGAAGTATAGTTTCGTGGTTCGGTATCGAGCTAAAATCCCCGATCTTTTCCAAGCTCGAATCCGAAGGGCTTCTGGTCATCAACTTAAACCGCGATCTGATATTCTCCAGCTCCGCTTTGTGCTCCCTATTCAACCTATCCGTCACATCTTTCACCATCTTCTCCTTCTCGCTCTCCTTATCGCTCAACTGCTTCCTCAACTCCTCCACCCGAGCGTGGTGATCCTCCTTCAACCTCAAAAGCACTGACTTCAACTCCGCCAACTCATCATTGGTCTTCTGCAACTTCTGCTCCATCACGATGTTCGCGATCTTTACGTTATTCAAATCGTCCTCTTTATCCGAACACATGTTTTTTAAAGAGCTGACCTCCGATTCGTGGGAGGATATCAAATTTTCCGTCGCGACTTGGTCTGCCTTGCAAGTTTCCAGCACTCGGCTTTGGCACATCGTGATGCTTTTGTAGCCGCTTTCGAGGAACTCCTTGTCCGCAAGAAAAATATGCCTGATTTCTGTCAGCTCCGCTCTCAGTTGGTTTATGGCGTTCGTCGATAGATGGCCCAAGGTTTCGAGGGTTCCTTTCAGTTTTTCGTGCTCGCTTCTCGAGATTTGTAAGTTATCCTGAAAGTTATTATTGTAAGGAGTGTTTCACAATTACACTGCTCAAATAAATTCAACATTCCATTTAAAACAGCAAACGAAACATTTATTATTTCATTGTTTCGCCCTTTACTTGATGAAACTCCATCTCACTTATATATAAATACATATAATAAAAACTACATGTTTTTAGAGCTTCACGATTTTATTTGAACTTAAAAATTGATTCGCTATTACAGTTGCTTCTTAATAGTTCTGAAGAAGCTACTCTAAAAACATTGTAGGTTTAATTATGTTTATATGGGTCATTATACTATAAAGGCTCTCTGCCATTTGTTAGTTATCCCTAACATTTCTTATTAAAAAAATAATAAATTGAGGTTGAGCTATTATAGAACTAGATTCACAAATAAGAACTTAAAATAATAGAAATAATTTCTCAATTATTGATAGGAAATTTTTCAATTAAGGTAGTTGTCGTGCTGTAAGCATACCATCAGAAAATTTTAAATTTTTGTATACTTATTAAGGACATGACAATACACATATCCTTAAAATTTGAAGTCGATTGACCGTCTATAACCCGAGATAAATTCAATTAAAAATTGGATAATTAACATGGATTGTATAGGCTTTCTGTAGTTCTGTACCAGTTTCTTAGTTATACAAAAAACTAACTGTCAGAAGCTTTAAAAAAACTAACAGTGTTTTAATGTATTTTTGCTGAGTAAAAAAAAATACTTTAAAATTGTTTATAAATAACCGTTTAAAGTTCAACAATTTCTAAAAAGTATACATCACTAGTGTCAGATAAAAACAACTTGGCAAGGCTATACGCGAGTATAGATATTATTTCCGTAGTAAATTCAAACGGACTGATTCAGTTTCCAATATATCTATTGGTTGAGCATAAGCGACGTTGCCGGATTAAAACTTATGAAAATATTTGAAGTATTACGTAAAGGTAACGTCTCCAGGGTACAGTCTTGCGAACAAATTATGAATCACTTAGCTTCAAGCTCGTATACTTTTACGGTGCGTATAATCTAAAAATTTTTGACAATATTGTACCACGACAACTACCTTAAATATATAAAAATGTCTTAATTAAGGTTCACACTCTAAAACCCCATGTCAATATCATATTGCCACAGGAATCCAGAATGGGGCAAAATAACGACAAAAACCAACAGTAGCGTTGTTGCAAAATTTGGCTTGTTTTTTGTCTTTATTTAAAGACACAAATTTTTCGTAACACTTTTTAAAATCGGTGTAAGTTTTTGTTTCATGTTGTATCTCTAAGTTAAAATTCCTGAGTTCTTCCAATGTAATAAAGCAGTATGAGCAAGTTTAGTAACCTATAATATTATAAAAAAAAAGTTGCTATTTTTTAATAATAAGATCTGTGTTTTACAAAATACGATATTTTTATAATAATAAAAAAAATGGCAATAACTTGAAAAAAGTATCTGCTGGTATTTAGTTGGTCCTTAGCATCCCGCCGTGCAGCTATTTCATCAAAATTGTCAAATACAGTGTGTCCACAGATGGACTTAACTATACTTGTAAACATATTTATTTTCAATTTAACGAGAAAATTTTTTCATAATTTCTTTTGCTTGTTATATAAATACGATTCGCGTTAAGAAACATCCATTTAGTTGTACAGGGTGAGCAAAAATACTGATTCTCAAAATTTAAAAAATTTTAAATATTTTTTTAAGCGCTAATACAAAGAGCTGGTAAGGAGAAATCAAAAAGTCAAATGAAGTTTTTTCATATGAGTTTTTGATACTAAGATATTTGATATTGAAAATTTAAGATATTAGTTTTCAAATGTTAACAAATAATTGTAGACATTGTAGACATGTCACAAAATGAGATAGCAGTTAATTTCTACAAAATATCATAGTAACAACAACTCACATGAAAAAACTTTATTTGGCTTTTTTCAAAATCTACAATTGTATTTTTTTGCGCACCCTGTATAACAAAGTAGAAGTTTCTAATCTTGAACGGTATTTATATAACAAGCAGAAGAAATTATGAAAAGTCACTTTTCTTCGAAAAATTGAAAATAAATATTTTTACAAGTATAGTTAAGTCCATCTGTGGACACACTGTATATTCTTCATTTATTAGGATATACATTAAATAAAAAACGCAAGAAACATTAAAAAAAGTAGAGATAATATTAAATAATTGACAGGTGTGGACGGGACAAGATACAATTTTTTTTTAATTAACTTTACTTTTATAAATTATTTCTTGCGTTTTTTTATTTAATGTAGGTATAGCCTTATAAAAGAAGAATATTTTTGACAATTTTGATGCCAAAATCTTATATAATAAATTATCTACAGTTTTTTTTATCAAAAAAGTTTTGTAATTCTTGCGTTTCGCGCGCTTGAAATGGCCGCATGGTTAGTTTTTGTTGTCATTTTTTGACTTCTAACTTTTGACTCGTTCCAGACCCCTGTGTTGCAATAGTGAAAAATTGGATATATTTCATAGGTTTTGTATGAAACGGAATTCTAAAAATAAAATGAAATAACAAATAAGTAGCTCCTCAGTACCAATAAAGAATGTGATAAAATTTCTGTGAATAATTTTTTAAGCGCGTCCAAACCTTGTCCTTATTTTTAATGTCAACTTCGTCACAAACCGCCTGAATAAAAACAGATTAGTCATAAAATACACTGGAGTTTAGCATTACATATAAAAGAACTCTGTAACCCATTTAGTTTGTAACTGTGGCACAAGATGGCGCCGCTGCAGGCAATGGTATCGCTATTGTTATTTTGCGCGTTACAAATAAGCAGCGTGTGTTTTTAAAGGTTATCTTTCGTCACGGCATTTACTCGTTAAGTATTTGCAGTTTTTAATTTCCTTTTTCATGTAAAGGAAACCGATTTCTTTCTTTTTAATTAATGCAATGTATTATGTGCATTTATTGTGTCACTTGGAAAATAGTTTTTTTATTGTCAAAAATGTCTACTTTGTCACATGTCTCTTTTGTCAACTTAAAAATAAGGTACTCTTTAGACGAAACTTTACTGCTAAATAATAGTCACAATGGATATGAAAATGTAAAATATTTATTTTTTAGAGGTAGATGGGTCTAAAAAGTATAATGACCCATATATTAAAAACATTTATTCTAAATCCACTAAATTCTCATGTACAGGTCCAACCGTAAAAAATGTCTCGAAATCAAAGACCATTTGCCATTTTAAAAAAATTTTAGTAGCCTATGGAAGAAGTAAGCGTAAAATTTTTTATGTTGATATTCCTGGTGTATGAAATTAAAAATTAAAAAAAATTAAAGGAGGGAGAACAATAAATTATTAAAAGTTTTGTTTGCTGTTGGAAGAGGAATGTTTAATAAATAAATTTTTATTTTAAAAATACGTTCAGCTAATTTATTGGAGCAATGTATAACCATAAAAGTGTAAAGCTTGGGATTTACAACTTACGTAGCAAAATTTAGAACATTTGGCAAACTACTTACCGAATTAAAAGCCAAATTTTAATACATGTTTCTCAAAAATATAACTTATCTGTATTCAAGAAGTTTAATAAATGTGTGATAGTGTAAACAGTGTAAAACCTATTACTAAAGTCATGCATTGGATGGGATGGGGGTGCTTCAGGGATCTGTTTTAGGGTCACCAACAGCGAATTTTCGGAGCATACCAAATAACGACCAAAAAAAAAATTATAAAAAACAAATAACAACTAAAATTACCTGTTCATTGATAGAGACCCACAGAGGCTAAACAAAAGAAATACGAAATAATACATAAATTTCTATGACCATGCCAAAAAATAAAATTTAAACAATTTTGGGAGGATTGCGATTGAAAATAAAAAGAGGGGGAGAAGAATATTACCTGACAAATTTCATGCATTTTTTAAAGACCATTTTTTTGATATAATGAAAAGGTTAACTCAAATTTTAAAAATTTTCGAAGAGTTTTTATAGATAATGTTTTTGTGCACATTATGTATTGACTACATATAAATGGGACATTTCACGCCAAATTGACAACTTTTTAACTTGACTCATTAAGATTTGTTCTAAATTTTTATATTCCATACTGCCCAACTAAAAACGCTTCTGTGATTTTTTTTTCCAAGTCGTTTTATTTTAATGGGGGATTTTTTTTAAACGCTTATAACTTTTTCAAAAACTGACTAAACAAGTAGTTTATTTTTAAATTTTTAAATACTAGGAGTAATTAAAAATATGTCGAATATTTTGAGGTGTGATATAGCAAATATTGTTTGTGCAACCAAAAATAATATTCGCTATATCACCTCAAAATATTCATCATATATTTTCGATTACTAGTGGTATTTGGAGGACCATTGTTTTAATTAAACCAAAAAATCAAAACAAAAGGCATTGAAATTAAAAAATATTCATTTCTTAGTACTAGTACAATATTTGCTGCAATTTGTACTAGACCAATATTCGCAACAATTACTTTTAATTAATTAAAGCGCTCTGATTGGTTAACTTCAATAATTTATTAATATAAGTTTTAATAGATGACAGGTGAAAAAAGTTGTCAATGAATCTATGCAATTTTTTATTCATTTTAAATTTTTTTTAAACTCTGTTTTTTTCATGTTTAAACGTGGTTTAAAAAAAAATTCTATAAAAAAAATTCTTTTTCAGTATTTGTAGTTTTAAAATTACAAAAAAATACCTATAACAAGTAATGTTTTATGAAATTCTTTGGTTTTTCAGAAAAAAAAAAACATTTTTTTTTCAGTTTGCTATGTTCTCTTTCTATTTAGATTTATTTCATTAGAAAAAGGTTGGCAAACTAAAAAAATATAAAAAATACAACAAAATTTATATTTCATAAAAATGTTGTTTTTCAGTAATTTTTTATGGTTAAAAATAGGAAAAAATATAATACTTATAATCATTTATGAGATTCTTCAGTTTGTCTTTCTATTTAGATTTATTTCATTAAAAAAAGTTAAGCAAACTGAAAAATTAATGTTTTTTTCGGAAAAAATTTAAATTTTATTTTTTTTAATCGTGGTTTTTAGATAAAAATACAAACATATGTATTTATAGTCCATAAAAATGTTAATTTTTTTTATTGTTCAGGTGAAAATACTAAAAAATATATAATAATTAATGTTTTATGAGATTCTTCAGTTTTTCAGAAAAAAACCAAATTTTTTTCAGTTTTCCATGTTTTCTTTCTATTTAGATTTATTTCAGTAAAAAAAAGGATAGCAAACTGAAAAATTAAATTTCATAGGGTACAACTTTAAAAACGAAAATTAAAAAATAACGTCTCGATTAGTAAGTTGTCAAAAAAGTTATAAACGTCTAAAATAAAAAGCACAATAAATTCAGTCGGGTAAATAATGAATTAAAAAAATTCAAAAATCAAAAGAGGCCGGGTTTAAAAGTGTAATGCCCCAAATATAAAAAATAGTAATATTTTTGTATGAACTAATATTTGCCAATATTTGCCAAAAAAAACTATATTGTTTGAAATTGCTAAAAATCGATTTAATCGATAAATTTTAATTTCAGGTAACATTTGTTCTTGTAAAATGTGTCAAAACAAAAAATAAACGAAAAATAGAGTAATACAACCCTAAAAACGTGTACCGTGCAAATAGAGGAAATAATAATAGATCTAAACTACAGTCCCTGGCTTGTGAATTTGAAAAATAGTCAATATCTTCTCGCAAAAATGCATTTTTGAATTTGAAATTACCCAAAATACATAAAACGACTTTTTGGGCTTGGGATGTCAAAGTTTTCTTGCAAAAACGAGTTTTAAAGTCCAAAAAGTCGTTTTATATTCATAAAATCACCGTTGTAGTTCAAAACTGCATTTCGTGAGAAGATATCGACTATTTTACAAATTCCCAAAATTAAAGAAAATTTGTGAGCGAGTGCAGTTAATTGACCAGGAACTGTATAGGCTGTGGTGTGCAGAAAAGAATAAACTTGAAAGACTGAGTGAGTGAAAATACCTGCAAGATGGCGACCACGCTATTGGCAGTGTCGAGTTGTTTGTGAAACTCGGCCTGCGAGTGTCCCGTCTCGATACTGAGGCTAGACGGCAAACTTTCGTCGATGTAAAACTCGTCGCTCATAAAATCCTGCTGATGTTGGTGCTGTTGGTGACCACCGTGAGAGGACGAGAGGGTGTCCTGCGGATCTTTGGGACTTTGCGGGGAAACGGACTTGGACGGATGGTTAGGGAAATTATTGCAATTGGAAGCGATATTTTGCGTTTGCTGGTGGTGCGAGTTGAAGCAGCTGTCGCCGGCCGAGGCGAAATTTTTCAGGCTCGACAACTCGTCTATGGAATCTAAGGAGGGATTTTTAACGTTGGTGAAACTGTCAGTGTTGCTTTGCGTGCTGGCGCTAAGGGTGCGCTGCAAGGAGCACGAGGTGTTTTCCTCGGGATTGGGGTGGTTTGTTGGGGGGCGGGTGGCGAAGGAGCGCGGCGGTTTTTTAGGGGGCAGGGGGCACTTGTCACCAACCTCTGTGCACGTGGCGGCGTCTTGCGTCCCGGGCCTTGGCGAAGGGTCCAGCGGCGACTGACCGACCTTCTCGAACTCCTCGGTGTCTGTTTCAGACTCACAGCCTCTGCAAATGAGGCGGTATTTGTAAAATTGGTACTTTTGTATTAAGTCGTTAAAAATCCGAAAAACCCGGACATCGATCAAATTTAAGTCATAAGTGGAAATGTGTATACAAGGGTTTTTAAGGTCGCTGATTACGAATCTCAGGTTAAATTTTAAATAAATAAAATGGCGAAACTAAAATGGCCGATATTTTAAAGAAAAAATAATCAATTTTGAAAATTTTTAAAATTTGTAACCAAAGTTTTATTGCAAAAATTAGTTTTAATCCCAATAAGTCGTTTTTTATAACGTAATGTTAATTTTAGGTAATTTTATAAACATTACCTAATTTTTAATTTTATCGTAAAAATTAAAATTATCAAAATTCTTAATATTTTGAAAATTTCAAAATTTACAAAAAATTCCCCTGTTGTAGTCAACGTTTTATTTCAAAAATGAGTTTTTAATTCCAAAAAGTCGTCCTTTTGTTAAAAAATGTATAACAATGTAATTTGAATTAATTTTATTAGGTACCATCACTTTTTTAATTTTAATTTTATCGTAAACATCAAAATTTTTTAATTTATAATGTAATGTAAGTTTTAGATAATTTTATTACCATTACTTTTTTAATTTTATCGTAAAAATCAAAATTACCAAAACTCTCAATTTTTCGAAAATATCAAAATTTGGAAAACTTTTGTAAACAAAGTTTTATTGCAAAAATGAGTTTTTAATTCTAAAGTCGTTTTTGTTAAAAAATGTATACAAATGTAATGGTAATTTTATGCTAAACATAAAAATTAACCAAATTTTAAATATTTCAAAAATTACAAAATTTTAAAATATCCAAAATTTTCAAATATTTATAAATTTCCATGTTTTATTGTAAAAAAAGTTTTAATCCCAAAAAGTCGTTTTTGTAAAAACATTTATAACGTAATGTGAGTAATATTTTAGGTAATTTTATTACCATCACTTTTTTTATTTTATCGTAAAAATCAAAATTACCAAAATTCTTAATTCAAAAATTTCGAAATTTACAAAAAATTTTAAGATTTCCAAAATTTTAGAAATTTTGACAGTTTCCATGTTGTAATCACAGTTTTATGGCAAAAAATCAGTTTTACTCCCAAAAAGTAGTTTTTGTAAAAAAATTATAACGCAATTTAAGTAGTATTTTAGGTTATTTTATAACCGTCACTTTTTTAAATTTATCTTAAAAATCAAAATTAGCAAAATTCTTAATATTTTCAAAATTTCCATGTTTTATTGTAAAAAAAGTTTTAATCCCAAAAAGTCGTTTTTGTAAAAACATTTATAACGTAATGTGAGTAATATTTTAGGTAATTTTATTACCATCACTTTTTTTATTTTATCGTAAAAATCAAAATTACCAAAATTCTTAATTCAAAAATTTCGAAATTTACAAAAAAATTTAAGATTTCCAAAATTTTAGAAATTTTGACAGTTTCCATGTTGTAATCACAGTTTTATGGCAAAAAATCAGTTTTACTCCCAAAAAGTAGTTTTTGTAAAAAAATTATAACGCAATTTAAGTAGTATTTTAGGTTATTTTATAACCGTCACTTTTTTAAATTTATCTTAAAAATCAAAATTAGCAAAATTCTTAATATTTACAAAACTTTAGAAATTTTGATAATTTTCATGTTGGTATTACAATTATAGCAAAAATTAGTTTTAATCCCAAAAATTAGTTTTTGTAGAAAAAAATAAAACCTACATTACATTAGTATTTTAGGTAATTTTATTACCATCACATTATTAATTTTAATTTAATCGTAAAAATCAAAATTTATAATATTTAAAAAAAATTTAATATTTAAAAAAATTTTAAAATGTCCAATTTTTTTTAAATTTTGATAATTTTAATGTAGTAATCACAGTTTTATCGCAAAAAGTGGTTTTTGTAAAAAAAATTGTAACGAAATGTTAGTAATATTTTAGGTAGTTTTATTACCATCATTTTAATTTTAACATAAACATCTAAATTACCAAAATGCTCAATACTTCGAAAATCATGTAATCGAAATGGCCGAAATTTATAAAAAAAAATTATCAAATTTTGCCTAAATCCTAAGGGTTTTTAAGGTCGCTGATTACGAATCTGAATTACAATGTATAAATTTTAAAAATTCCCGACAATTTGAAGAAAACCCTATCGGATTTCGTCAAAATCATACGCAGGTGAAATAGTTTTTGTCGTTGATTACCAGGGCCGGGAATTATGGGATTTTTAACCATTGTGCGCTGTCGAAAATGCGTAAAGGCGTATCTAGTTTTTATAGAGCAATTTGAAGAAAAGTTATATATACAATTTTAAATGTTTAATAAACAGCTCTTACTTATAATAATATTTTAAATTATTATAAATAGGAGGAAAAATATATTTTAAATATCCCAAAATAGGTTTTAACATTCTAAAATGTTTTTTGGACATCTTGACAAAATGTGTTTTAACTTTCCAAAGTCAGGGTGCTAAGTTAAAAAGTACTCACCTGTCAATATCCCTTAGGTGCGGCAACCCGTGGGGCAGGTTGCCCTCCAGCTGCGCCCCCATCACCTGCACCAGCTTTTTCTCGACCTCCTTGATGTCGCCGCTCTCGTCCACCTTGTCGAGCTCGGCTTTCACCAGCGATTTGGTGAGGAAGAAGTTGGTGAAGCCGCTCGTGTCGGGCATGGCGAGGTGCTCGGCGAACTCTGGCAGCTCGGCGCGCAGACGATCGACGTCTGCGCGCGTGATGTGCGGCAGCTTGCCGTCGAAGGGGGCGGGCGCCTGCGTGGCGAACGGCGGCGGCAGGTCGTTCATGCCGGGAAATAAGGTCACCAGAAAGTGGCCCTCGAACTGGGACTGCAAGAAATATTGTTTTTGAAGTTGTTCTTCTTTTGGCGGTTGAAAATTAAGATTTTAGCAGGCAACGGGAGTATGAAGTATGAAGTTGTTACATGACGAGTAGAGATGCGACTTGAAAAAAAACGGTCCGTTTTTTTTGTTTTTTTCATTGTTTTTTTTCAAATGGTTTTTTTTTCACATTTTAGGTTTTTTTTTCAAGATTAGTCCCATTTGCCTAATTTTTTAGGTTTCATGGACTAAAATTAGCCACTAAATGACAATTAGTAAATGTAAATACAGTCTCGCGCTATGCACGCGCCACCACCACCGAATTGACCAATAAGGGCCGCGCTTGTTTTGATTTGGTCCTAAAAAAAAGTAACTATACAGGGTGTTATGTAATTAATGTTATATATTAAAATGGGTTGTTCCTTAGGGTCCATAAAGAAGCACCTGAAACTTTTTTTTTCTAAATTCCAAAGTCTAAAAATAATTTATAATAACCTTTATCCTACCAAAAAGTACGCCACTGATCGACTAGGAACTTTAGGTTAATCTGGTGGATTTATTATGTTATGGTTGGTAACAACAGTGTTTCCAAAATCTCTCAAAAAAGTTGACAAACATTGTTTAAATTTAGCTTAATTACAAAAATGACAAAATTAACAATGCAAATTGTCAATTTGGCGTTTTTATTAATTGTTGGTTATTTCATTTTTGTACTGAAGGTAAATTCAAACAAAATCTGACAACTTTTATGACAGAATCTAGTGCATTTCTTTTAAATTTTAGGTTATGTTTTCAAATTGTAAATATCTTAACTAAGGGAAGTGCTTTTGGATTTATTTACACAAATTAAATGTTTAAAGTTTAACCTGTGAACTGGTCCCAATTTCATCTGAGTAAACAGAGAAAAAAACTGATGAAAAAATTAATTTTGTGGTTATGGATTTCAAATTTCAAAGGTACTAAATTTTCTAATCATTGCTTAAGCTAATAGCTGGATTAGTAAATAAATACAGAAGGGTATTAGAGCTTTAATGGCATAAAACTTTTGTATTTATTGAGTTTTTATTTATTTTTTGCAAGAAAAATTTTTAGTAACAATTTTTTACATCTGGCAACGCATAGCTACTTTGTTGGTTGGTATCTATGTACTCACAAAATACAGGTGTGCAGAGATAAACAAGTTTGTAACCAGTGGCGTATCACAAAAAATATAAAAAACTTTTAATGCATATTTTTTCTTTATCTTTGGAAAAATGCTTTATAAAATATTTTTCCTTTATTCCTTATGTCAAAAGGTATTCAGTATTTTAATATATAACATTAATTACATAACACACTGTATATAATATTTTTGATTCAGCGCTTTATTTTTCAAAAAGCTACCAAAAGCACTTTTTTATGATTTTTCAAATATAGTATGGATTTTTTTTTCAAAAAAACAATAGATAAAAAGAGATAAAAAAAAATCGATTTTTTTATTAGGGTATTTGTTAGGATTGAGCGTTGCACATTTTTCATCTAAAAATCTCAAAACTAGAAACTTCAAGCTTCAAATTGCTTTTTTTACGGCTCCAATACGACCATTTTTAACAAAGATACAGCTATCCGAAGAATCGCAAAACAATTTTTTTTATCTCTTTTACATTGCTAATGTGGAAACTACCAAATAATAAATCAGATTTTTTAGTCTCGGTCAAAATTTTCAATAATGAAAAATTTAATATATTCTACATTTCACTTTATTATTAATATACTTATATTTTATATTTTATATTTTACTCAAAATTTCATTTTGAAAAAAAACAAAAAAAACCGTTTTTTTCTTAGTTTTTTTTCATGTTTTTTTTCACATCTGAAAGAGAGACGTCACAGAAAGCCTATACGCGTGAACGTAGGATATTAAAATTTCCAGAAAAATTGAGCAGGCAGATAAAACGAAAATTGGTACACTGATGTCGAGAAAAAAGTGAATTTCAGACGCTGATCATATAATATTATGATTATAAAAATTATTCCTTTTATTTGAATTTAGTAAGAATATTCTACCGGGCCGCAACAAAAAATACGGTGCTGTATTCACATAACTCTCGTTTTATTTGATTTATAAAATTATAATTTTGTAATTTAACTTAATTCATTATTTTGTATTTGGATATTTTCAATGGGCTCCTTTTTGCAAAAATACCCAACCGACAATATATTTAACGTTTACATTTATTTTCTTAAATCAATTTAATTAATTTTTTTTAAATTAAAAAAATGTTAATATATTGATTAAAACTTTTTTAAAATGTATACATTTTCCATAAAAAAATACAATTTTCCCCAAAAAAGACAATTTTCCAAGGCTTGGGAAAAAAACGGAAAATATTTTTCTTTACAACCTTCTTGGCATCAAATGAAAGTAGAAAACTGGGTAGTGATGATTTTTTAGAATTTTAAAATTTACAGGGTGATCCCCTATAATGTCGCCCCCCTTTAACATTTTTATTTTAAGTGTCCCAAACAATTTAAAAGTGTGGTTATGTAGGTACTAAAAAATACTTTTTTACGTATACAAAATATTGGAAAATTGATCAGTATACAGGGAAAACAAAAAGTTTATTTTTTCTCAATGGATCACCCTATATATAAATTTATTTTTCGATCTCTTAAAATTCTAAGCATAATTTATATAACATACCATATACCTAAATTCAACCGTTTCTGAAATATTTAAATTATTTTTAAGATAATAATAAGTTAAAATTGTTTGTCTTTCTCTGTTTGAGTACGCCATTTTTATTTACTTAAAAAGACATATTGACAAAAAAAACCGTTTTTTTCTTAGTTTTTTTTCATGTTTTTTTTCACATCTGAAAGAGAGACGTCACAGAAAGCCTATACGCGTGAACGTAGGATATTAAAATTTCCAGAAAAATTGAGCAGGCAGATAAAACGAAAATTGGTACACTGATGTCGAGAAAAAAGTGAATTTCAGACGCTGATCATATAATATTATGATTATAAAAATTATTCCTTTTATTTGAATTTAGTAAGAATATTCTACCGGGCCGCAACAAAAAATACGGTGCTGTATTCACATAACTCTCGTTTTATTTGATTTATAAAATTATAATTTTGTAATTTAACTTAATTCATTATTTTGTATTTGGATATTTTCAATGGGCTCCTTTTTGCAAAAATACCCAACCGACAATATATTTAACGTTTACATTTATTTTCTTAAATCAATTTAATTAATTTTTTTTAAATTAAAAAAATGTTAATATATTGATTAAAACTTTTTTAAAATGTATACATTTTCCATAAAAAAATACAATTTTCCCCAAAAAAGACAATTTTCCAAGGCTTGGGAAAAAAACGGAAAATATTTTTCTTTACAACCTTCTTGGCATCAAATGAAAGTAGAAAACTGGGTAGTGATGATTTTTTAGAATTTTAAAATTTACAGGGTGATCCCCTATAATGTCGCCCCCCTTTAACATTTTTATTTTAAGTGTCCCAAACAATTTAAAAGTGTGGTTATGTAGGTACTAAAAAATACTTTTTTACGTATACAAAATATTGGAAAATTGATCAGTATACAGGGAAAACAAAAAGTTTATTTTTTCTCAATGGATCACCCTATATATAAATTTATTTTTCGATCTCTTAAAATTCTAAGCATAATTTATATAACATACCATATACCTAAATTCAACCGTTTCTGAAATATTTAAATTATTTTTAAGATAATAATAAGTTAAAATTGTTTGTCTTTCTCTGTTTGAGTACGCCATTTTTATTTACTTAAAAAGACATATTGACCTAATGTCACTATAGTTATTTATTTTCAATAAACATTTTGTTATTCTGAGGCTTCTTGATTTGTAACAGTTTTAAAAAATATTTGATGATAACGTTTCAAATGCGAATAATTCATAAACGGTTGAATTTAGGTTTATAGTATGTTATATGATTTATGCTTAGAATTTTACAAGGAATCGAAAAATAAATTCATATATAGGTTGATTCATTGGGAAAAAACAAACTTTTTGTTTTTCCCTGTATACTGATCAATTTTCCAATTTTTTTATAAATAGAAAAAAAGTATTTTTTAGTACCTACATAAAAAGGACGTTCCACTCAAACAGCTAATTTCCAATATACAAAAAACGTATAACAATTCTTAGAGCAGGGGTTTCTGGGCCTTGGTATTTCATTAGATCTTTCAAAGGCGTATGATTGCCTAGATTCTGACCTTTTACTAATAAAGCTAGAAAAATATTGCATTCGGGGGGCAGCTTTGGAGTGGATTAGGTCCTACTTGGAGCGAGAAAGCAGGCAGTAAAGATTAATGATTGCATTTCAGACATCCAAAATATTATCCTGGGAATTCCCCAGGGGAGTATTCTGTTTCTGTTTTTGTTTTTGATCTTTGTAATGGAATGGAATGTGATATTGTAAAAAATGAAAACAAATTTTGTACAAACTATGCTGATGATAATAACCTTCTTGTGGGTGCTAAAAACTTCTACAAACTTAAGGAAAAATGTGAGAGATTGTTCTCAGTAGCTGAAAACAAACTTATTCTTAATAATGATAAAACCAATATAGTAGTTTTTAGGACTAGACGATCTAGACAGGAAATACCTGAACCTATCCCGATTCCCATCTCTAGTAAAAATCAAAATTACCAAAATTCTCAATATACCGAAAATTTGCAAACATTTTAAATGTTAAAATTTTCTTTATTTCCATGTAATTCAACTTTTATTGCAAAAATGAGTTTTAATCGTTCTTATAAAAAAATTATAACGAAATCTAAGTAGTATTTAAGGTAATTTTATAAAATTAAAAAATAGTTTTAATCCCAGAAAGATTTTTTGTAAAAATCAAACCTACCAAAATTCACAATATTTAAAATTTGTAAAAAATTTAAAATGTTCCTACAAAATTTTCAAAGTAGCAGTATTTTAGGTAATGTTATTACCAATACTTTTTTAATTTTTATATTATCATAAAAATATGTTTTTTAATTTTTATAATATCATAAAAATATGTTTTATTGACATCAGTCAGGTTCCAGCTCTTGAGAAGGCACCACGCGATAGCGAGTGCTTTTGAAACGTAAAAGTTTAAAGATTAAAACCAACAATAATTTTTAAAATGTGCAAACCAATTATAGTGAAACAAACAATTTTCATAGAGTGCAAACTAAACTAAACTAAAATGGTGCAACGGTCAATGAAGAGTGAAGTGTTAAGTGATGAATGAGTTAAGTGCCACCTGTCATTGGACGCTTTTCACTGGACAAACAAAGGAGGTCAATCAAGAAGGGAGGTGGCCATCCGCAAAAAAATTGATCTTTAAAACCCTAAGAAAGGCACACTGCATGGAACAATAAATCTGTCAACAACAAATAAGGCAAACCCAAACGAGACCAATAATAAACACTAGACACATAGAATAAACTAACACATTAATCATATAACCCTAACATAGTAAAAAAAGCATAATAACCAAAGTCTACTGGATTTGTAAACATTAGATAACAGAATAATTGCGCTTGTCATTTGTTTAACTAATAAATAAATGCATTACTTAATTTTGGAATTTAAGAAAAAAGACAAAACTCTACCACAAAACGTGCTTGGGCAACACAATAACTAATAATAAAAAAAAAATGGTTAGAAATTTCGCACTTCTGCGGCAATAAACAATAAAAAAAAAACACCAAAAGCTACACGTTACATCCAGCTACTGAACTATCTATTGATGGTTTTCGACATCAAGACTGAGGACACGGGCAATGACAATAACGAACAAGACGAAGACCTCGACTAGGAAACTTCACCCCTGCAGCGAAATAACAACTCCCTAACTCCAAATATTAATCCCAAATGTTTGGATTAATACTAATCGACTGGTCTAGGGGGATTCCGCGTCGTACTTAGTTTTAAGTCGGCGTAATTGTCCCCCAAAAACCAACACCCTCCCGTCCCTCCTCCTCTATACCCCACTGAGCGTATAGTATCGGCTCGGCGAACCCGAGAATGGCTATTAAAATCATTCTCATGTCGCTCTCGAGCCCCAAATAGGGGACAGTACGGAACGCGATGGACATTCGCACACAGCAAACACGGGTGAAGCCGTGCAGTTGCTGGGGGCGAACAAAAATCGGCGTAAGTAAACAGGCCTGTACGGGGTCCGGGAGTGATGATGAAATGGGGCTGGTTATACGTCTCTTATACTCATACTCATACTCATCATAAAAATATGTTTTATTGACCTAAAAACATTTTTAACGCGATTATATTCATTAAATCACTTGTATAGTTTAAAATAGTATTTTTGGACAAGATCATAGAAAAGTTGTGAGCGAGTCGACATTTTATTACTTACTTGAAACTCCTTCCTCCTGGCAACTTCGTCGTTGTGAATGGTCAACAATTGACACGCGACGTCGGAAGCCCACATCAGAAACGACTGCGAAAATAACTTCCTTCGAACGACTTCCGCCACCGCGCACAAGTAAGTCGCAGGCGTCAGGTGTATCTGCTGCAGGACGTCGAGGTGCCTCCTCAAGCGGCAGAGGCTCTGATGGAAGATGACGAGCTTCTGATCCAACGCCACCAGCTTGTTTTGTATGAACATGACCCACTTGAGGCGATGGAAGAGGTTCTGGCTGAGCTCTTCTTTCGCTTTGGTGCAGCGTCTGCGGATGTCGCAGAGCTGCTGGTGGTTTTGAGCCATCTGGTAGAGCAGTCTGCGGTGGGAGCCGCACAGGTCCGGCAAAATTGATGCGTCCTTCAGATTGCTGACTCTGTGTTGGTTCTACAAGAGTGTGCTCTTTTATATCATATAACGAAAAAGTCCTACATAATTGCAAAACAATGTTTGTGGGATGGAACCATGGACCAATTTGGAAATGTATGATATTTAAAGCAAATTATAATAACAGAAATTGTAAAATTAACAAGAAGATAAAGCTTAGATAAAGGATGAAGGGCAATAGATTAAACAGTCTAAATAGAAAAAACGTGGAGAAAAAATGTTGCAAGTTCTGGAAAGAAAAAGATTAAACAAAGTCTTGGAAGGAAAAACTTTATAGAAAAATTTTGCAAGAAAAAAATATTTGTAGATACAAAAAGGCTAAAAATACTAATAAATGGAAAACGATTCCCTAACAATAAGATCAAATGGCTTAAAGGTGTTGCTAGACTCTAAATAATTTAAAAACACAAAGAAATATTTTTTTTATAAAATTATAGAAATTTTAATTAATCTAGAGAAAATATTACAAAATGAACAATAATTTTAACACTATAAATCAGTTTTTAATATTAAATCATATGAAATACTAGTAAAAAAAGTTAAATACATGTCTTAAAAAAATTAATCAATTTCAGAAGTTATAATTGAATACGTCAATGCAGAAACTGAATATGTCCTACCTATCTAGTTTTGAGATAAATAAGAAAAACTGAACAGAAAGTGGACATGTTCTGGACATATTCAGTTTCTCTACTATATTAACGCCTTTGTATAATCTAGATTACCGTGACATGTGAAATTTCTACGCCATTCGATCGGGCACCCTTTACTTATAGTAAATCCATGTTTAACTCAATATCCCTAAAAAGTGGACATATTCAGTTTCTGCATTGACCTATTCAATTGTGGTCATTTAGGTTTATTCTATCTACGTTTTATTTTGTCAATCGATTGTTGCCATAAATTTTAGAAAAAAATTAAAAAAAATGTTTTGACATGTGTCCATAAAATGGTACACTAACGGTATGCCACGCTGGAAGTAAAAAAAAAATTGGAGGAGTAGTTAAATTGGAAAAAAGTTGTTGCCTAATTACAAGTTTATTAGAATGGTATTTTAAAAATAAAAAAAATAAATCAGCGGTTCTCAAATTACACTGTAGGGAGGTGAAAATATCACAGCTAAACGCTCGGACACGTAAAATTAATTGTTGGTCGTAGATTAGAAATCCGTGCTTGGTTTACCTGTATCAGGTCAAAATTCAAAGATATTGGAAACACCCTGTATAAATTTAAACACCATGTATAATTTTTTTTTAATTAAATTTGGCGGGACCCACACATCAGTTCCAAATTAAAAAAATAACAAATTCTTGCAAAATTTGAAGTTAATTGATCAAAAGATACACGTGTCCCTAATCTTAGATAATTTAGGAAATTTTAAATGTTTTTTTGCTAATTTTTTTTAATTGGCCTATATTGGAATTTTAGGTGGTTGGCTAGAATTAAACCAAGGAATTCAACATGAGTTATGAAGGCCATTAAGAAATTGTATGAAAATGCAGATAAATGTTAAACATACTTTTTTTAAACTCCTAGGAGGTTTTTAGTTTTTTCAAATTTATTAAGAACCGCTTGGTTTTTTACAATTTACAAATTTCATTAGGCTCGTAATTACTTAACTTTTCCCTGATATAAACAACCTTGTAGATCTTCAAATAAAAAAACTACCCTAGGTTGATTTATTTTTACTCAAAAAGCAAAATATTCACGCACATATCGAGGAAAAAAATTCTTGAAGTTTTAGCCCCTAACCTTACTCCGTACTTTAATTTTGATTTTTTTCATTGAAATAGCATGGGAAATTAAATTTCCAATAGCTTGGCGGTTCTACGCTACTAAGTAATATTTTAATACAACTCCTATATTTCGACCTGTTTACGTTTCCAAAGTCATATTTTTAATAAAAAGCAGTACCTGGTTTTGCATTTTACGGCTATGGTTTAAGTTACAGGTAAAAAGTAACAAAGAATTGTACAGGAAATTTAATTTCTCAAAAAAAGGTTGGTAATGAATAGTTACAGGTAAAAAGTAAAACAAACTTCAATTTCCTACAAAAAAGGTTCTATGCAATGAATAGTTTAAAAGATATAGAGCATTTAATAAATTTTTCTGTTAAATATTGATAAAGTTTTAACAATATCTGACAATTTATAGAATTCTCTATATATTTTAAACTATGCATTTTATTGGATTTATGAATACCATCTTTTTTATAGAAAATTAAATTTTCTAAACATTTTTTTTATACTTTTAGCTGTAAATTTAACCGTTTTGCCGTAAAATGCAAAAAACACTGTTTTTTATTAAAAATATGACTGTGTATGATTGGAAGAGCATCCAGTCACGATATTGAAACAAAATCCTTAATTTTGTATTTTATTTTAATTCATCTATAGCATTGGGATTCGGAAACAAATATCTTTTCAATGGTTACATCAGACCTTTTTGTAGAGCGTTAAATTTTCTACAACAATATTTCATACTCATTTGACAATAATTATTTTTCAATGAGTTACAAAATTATAAAAAACATTTTTTTTTATAAATTCTTCGAAGTTTTAAATGGTTGGAGTAATCGCTTAAACACATCAGTCCTTTTTTGTAGAGCATTTAATTTCCTACAAAAAAGTGCCTAAGTACCAATTTTTCAGTTTTGAAAGTAAAACAAAATATTCGATTTTTTTTAAACACCCTAAACGTTTAAAATGTTGATAAAATAAATAAAAACTATCTTGAATATTAAATCTTGGAAAATAGGAATTATTAAAGATTTTATAAAAAAACTCAAATAATCAATATAAAAATGCAAAACTTTACAAAAACATATAGAATTAATTAATGCAATAAAATAATTAACTAATGATAAAAAACAAACCAATAAACATGATATGAAGGTGCTTTACTTTACAAAACATGCTTGATGATATGCAATTAATTAATTTAAGTAAAAATACAAAATGTATATTGTTTTTGTATGCTATCATAATAATTTAATTATTGTTATTTCATTTAACTTGTTATGATTTAGGTACTGGTTGTTGTATCAAAATTCCATAAAAAAATTGTAAGTGATACTACAGCGTAAAATATGCAGAAAAGTTCCTAATAGAAAAAAAAATAATAAAAATTCCACCTTTTTCCATTTTTTACCCTGTCTTCTTAGGAACTTTTTTTCATATTTTGCGCTGCAAAATCTTTGGTAGTAAATAATTCTATCTCAAATCGACCAGGCAAAAAGGGGTAGGTCGTTATTTTGAACGAATTTTTTTTTACAGTATCTTGACCTTATGTTTTGTTCACCCATAGGAAATTTTTGAAAAATGGACAGAAACATTGATTTTTCTCTTTTTACAAGTGACATTTTTTCTTAAAAATTTGATAACTTGGCGAAAAATGTTCGTTACAATTTTTTTTTAAATTTTAGGTAAATTTTTACTACATACAAAAAAGAATAAGAAATTAAGTGAATTCACTTAATTTTTTTTACATTGTTTTTTTCTAAAAAAGGCAAACAAAATTGAGGTCAAAATTTTGACATTGTCACATTTTTTTTTACTTCATATTTTTTTCGTTTGAAGTTGATAATATAAACAACTTCCACCAAAAGTGGCTAAATTCGTCGTTTCAGAAAATTGAAAATGGTATTTTATCTAGGGTCATGAAACTGGTTTGACCTTTATAAATTGTAATATAGAACTTTTTGAATTCATGGTTAAAACATGAATATACAAAATAATTGCAGAATTTTATTTTACTTACATTCGTGAAGGATTTAGCGTTTTCTGCCTGCTCCAAAACGTACTTTTTCGCTTCCCTCATCAGCGTTTCCAAACCACTCAGCCTCTCACCCAGACCTTTGATTTCCTTCATTTGGTTGTTATCGGCGTTCGTGAGCACCTCCAAAATTTCGGCGTCCATTGAATTACAAACCAGGTCGCTAAACTACAACAACAAAACCAATTTTTTAGAAACAAAAATGTGTTTTTTCGTGCGTTAACTTTACTTGCTCCAATCCTCTCAAACACACTTCGTAAAGCTGGTCCATGTTGCTCTTGTCCTCGGACACCGATATCCAATCGAGCAACGTTTTCGTCTTTTCTCCTTCACCGGTTTCCGAGGAGGTTTTGGAGGTTCGCGTGTCCGTTTCCTCCTCGTCTTCGTCATCCTCCTTTGACGTTTCTGTGCCGGTGTCGGCTTCATCATCCGGCGCGATCAGCACCGGCAGAATCGGGATTTTTTCCAAAACCGACAGGTCATCGTGAAAACTACGAGAGAGAGATTTATTGTTGCTGCTTTAGTTAGAAGACTAACTTTGTGTAGTGTTTTTATGTAATGGTAGTTTTTAAAACCATTTTTTATTAAATAAATAAAATCAGTCAACTACAAAATGAATACTGGATTTTTGTGTTACTTGTTACCTCAGGTTTTCACGATTCAAGGGAGCAATTACTATTTAAAAGACAACTCTACTTTAAAGATTTATCACAGTACACCATTAACCATAATAATGGTAATAAAATCTTTTTTCATTTATCATTTTAATCGATCTGTGGTAATGTTTCACTTCATTTATATAAATATTGGGTTTTTAAATTAAATAAAAGTAAATTACATTTTATGGTTTCTTTTCTAATAGGGTGCAACAAGTAACATTGTAATCTTTTATATGTAGTACTTTTTTATGTAGAAAAGTCTATTAAAATCAAATTTATAATTTGAAAAAAGGGTTCTCAAAATATTTGAGAAAACTTAAAACCCTTCAAAACCAAAAATCGTTATAACTTCGTTGTTCCTGCGAATTTAAAAAAAAGTAAGTTTTACATTTAAACATACACATTAATCTACATTTTTATAAATTTTTTTTGATACCATATTTTAAGTTAAGCTATTTTTAGGATTTTAGGACAAACAAAAGATGGTGGTGGTAATTCAAAATCCAGTAGGCGAAAAAAAAGTAGACAAAGTTTTTACCAAATTCTCAGGAATAATAAAGTTAAAGAATAATAAAGTTATAACGACTTTTTGTTTTGAAAGTTTTAATTTAAATTATTTGAGAAACGCAGATTTTTTTTCAATTTTGAAAATTTTATTAAAGGCAAAATTTATATCTAAAAAAGGTTCTCAAAAGGAACGATATTCGACTAATATAAACTGTAGAGCCCAAAAAACTATTGTTAATTACAGGAGCAGACCAAAATGCATAATTTTCAGGAAACACAAAAGTATGGTAAAGTAACTTATATATTTTGAGCAGAATTCAAGATGCCAGTAAATTTGGAAAAGGAGTTCTCTAATATTAACAGCCTAAAAAATATTTATTCCTTAAAAATTTGAAAAGAGATGGGTTCTAAATGCTCTTTGATTGTCTAAAGCAGACAAAGCTCAGTTTGTTTGGAAAAAACAGAGACATCATGCTGATTAATAGTAAAACACAAGACATTTAATAAAGTTTTGTGTGATTTTATTGTACTGTGTTATCTGTCAAAACTGATAGGACAGTATGCACTTTGAATGTCCATGGAAACTTCGACCTGTTTAGAATGTACAGGGCACCGTTAAAAGATGCGCATTAGTTTTAAAAACAGAAAGCCATATTTTTCTCAAAAGTTGAATTTTTAGACAAAACGCATTTTAGAAGTCTGCTCCTCAGTCGCTCTATTTCATGTTGACAATTTTTGTATTTTAGTTTTGAGCAAGTCAACTTAAGCTATACTGTATGTCCACAAATGGGGATGAAAAAAATATTATACATTTATAAGAATAATTCATTTTGTTTTTTTAAATTTGCGAATTTAATTTCACAAATTATTTCAATTATTGCTAGAGATGCGACTTGAAAAAAAACGGCCCGTTTTTTTTTGTTTTTTTTCAGGTTTTTTTTCATTGTTTTTTTTTTCAAATGGTTTTTTTTTTCACATTTTAGTTTTTTTTTCAAAATAAGTCCCATTTGCCCAATTTTTTATGTCTCCATGGACTAAAATTAGCCTCTAAATGACAATTAGTAAATGTAAATACAGTCTCGCGCTATGCACGCGCCACAACCACCGATTTGATCAATAAGGGCCGCACTTGTTTTGATTTGGTCCTAAAAAAAGTAACTACATATAATATATTTGATTCAGCGCTTGATTTTTCAAAAGCAACCAAAAGCACTTTTTTCATGATTTTTCAAATTCTTGTAGAGTATGGAAATTTTTTTTTCAAAAAACAATAGCAAATTCTTGTAGAACATTTGGACCAAAAAAGAAAACAAAAAAAATCGATTTTTTTATTACGTTATTCGTTAGGATTGACCGTTGCACGTCTAAAAATCTCAAAACTATAAACTTCAAGCTTCAAATTGCTTTTTTTACGGCTCCAATACGTTATCCGAAAAATCGCAAAAAAAAATTTGTATCGTTTAATTTTTTTTTTAGTGTAGAAGTTTTACATTGCTATTGGTTTCTAATGTGGAAACTACCAAATAATAAGAAATCAGATTTTTTAGTCTTTGTCAAAATTTTCAATTTTAAAGAATTTAAAATATTCTACATATTTTAAATATTCTACATATTTTTTTCACATCTAAAAAAAACCGTTTTTTACATCTCTAATTATTGCATTAAGCCAGAGTATTGCATTCCATGTCGATATTAAGTGTGTTGTGGAGAATGCCTTACTCCAGTTTCTATAGAAAATCGCAAATTTTAAGAATGCCTTTTTTATATTTTACAAATATCTAGTTTTTTGCAATTTTATGGGAGATATTAAGTACAAATAATACCGATTTAGTTAATTCAATGGATAATATCCATTGGATTTGCACTAAAGATAAATTATTATTACTAGGAAAATTATATTTTTGAATTTGATTTGTTGGTTATGTAGCATAACTTAGGTTATAATCCTGCTTTTTAGTTATGGCGGGAAATGCAAATATCGAGCACTTTTTAAAATTGCTCGAGCGCTTTTAAGCACTTTACGAAAACTTATTATTTTTAAAATAAACAGTAGAGATGGGAAAATTCCTATTTGACAAAAATTCTTGGAAACTTTACATCGAAAATACCCGAAAGTTAAATAAAAGTTATTGCGGAAATGAGTTTTTTATGCCAGGAGGATTGCAAAACTAAATAATATTGGCTACCTAGTAAGGAATATTGAAAAGATACTAAAAATAGTATTGCAGTTCTGACCAATAAAATATGAAAAAAACTACAGGCAAAATAAAATCAACATTTTTAAGTGAGCCTGAGCAGTGGCGGCTGGTGGATTTTGGGTATACCAATATCTCAGTTATTAGACATGGGACCCACCAAATTTATAATAGTTTATAATGACATTAAATAGACAAGTTCCGCGCAAACAGAATTTAAATTGAAGTTTGCGAAAAAAAGTTAGTTTTTCCTGTCGCCTCACCCGCCTCCTGGCCCCCTATTTGAGATAATTTAAATTAAAGTGGTGCAATTTAAAATATACTATAATTTATCGACAAATTTAAAATATTATTTAATGTCATTATAAACTGTTATAAATGTGGTGTGGGTCCCATGTCTAATAACTGAGATATTGGTATAACCAAAATCCACCAGCCGCCACTGAGCCTGAGTTTATTGTTTTTAATAATACAGGCTCTTGACATGGTGTGACTGAACGAAGTTTAGGTCACATAAAAATGACGCCAAAAACTGATTGCAGTTTCTTGTTCGGGACCCTTTGGTGACTTAAAAATGATATTTACCAAAATCCTAGCTGCTCCTCTTTACGAAATTTTTTGAATATTCATGATTTTTTTTTAAATTTTTGTTTATCTTAATGTCTACCTTTGACAGAGTACACATTTGTACACCGATTTTTATAATATTGGAGTATATTGTTAAGGAGATTTGAAGAATACTGTTTATACTGTGCACATCATTTAATATATACAGGGTTAGCCAAAAATTGCTTCTTTAATAAAGCAAAAGCGTATATTCATGATTTTGGCATAACACGCAAAAAAGATATATACCCATTGGGTATTACCCACCCATGTTTTTTTAGATATTTTTATGTTTATCAGGCTACAAAATGGGATTCTTATCAAGACTTTATAAGAAAAATTGATTTTGAATAAAATTAAATAAAATAAATTTTTTTGGAGATAAATCTGTTTTGTGCATTATGCTTTTTACTATATAAAAACGTGATTTTTGGCTAACCCTGTATAAATGATGTGCTCCAAGTCTCGTTAACAATATACTCCAATATTATAAAAATCGATGTACAAATGTGTACTCTTTCAAAGGTAAGATAAACAAAAATTAAAAAAAAAATTAAGAATTTTCAAAAAATTTCGAAAAGAGGAGCAGCTAGGATTTTGGTAAATATCATTTTAAAGTTACCAAAGGGTCCCGAACAAGAAACTGCAATCAATAAAAATCGGTGTACAAATGTGTATTCTGGCAAAGGTAGACTTTGCGATAAACAAATAATTTAAAAAAAAAATGATTTTTTAACAAATTAAAAGAAAAGCAGTTAGAATTTTGGTAAATATCGTTTTTAAATCTCCAAAGAGTGCCGATCAAAAAACTTTAACCAGTTTTTCGTTCAAAATTGAAAACTTCTAATAAGCCTAAATTAAACAACATTTTAAATATTATCTAAGCGTTATTTTATTTAATTTTATTAAAAATCTATTTTTTTAATAAAAGGTTAATAAGAATGCCAGTTTGTAACCTAATAAACGTAGAAATATCTAAAAAAAAATGGGGATACATCTGTTTTGCGTGTTATGCCAAAATCATGAATTTACGCTTTTGCTTTATTAAAAATAAGCGATTTTTGGCTCACCCTGTATATATCAAATTATGTGAACAGTATTAAAAAGTATTCTTTAAGTCTCCTCAATAATATACTCTAATTTTATAAAAATTGGTGTACAAATGTGTACAAATGTGTACTCTGTCAAATTTTCAAAAAGAGGATCAGCTAGGATTTTGGTTTATATCATTTTTAATTCACCAAAGGGTCCCGAACAAGAAACTGCAATCAGTTTTTGGCGTCATTTTTATGTGACTTAAACTTCGTTCAGGCACACCGTGTTGAGTTGATTTATAATCCCGCTTTTAAGTTTTGGCGGAAAACTCAAATATCGAGCATTTTTAAAAGTATTAATCCTTCTTTAAATTAGATGTAAAAGTTTAAATTAATTCGTGCCAACCCTTCTCAACACTAATAATTATTATAGTAGGATAACTGAAAGCGTACTTACTTATCTAAAAACTTGATGTAAGTGTCCCGCTCCTTGAGATACTCGGTGTAGTTGTAGGAGAAGGCAGTGGTTCTTTTCTTGAATTCGGCCGTGAGATCCTCGAGGCTGGCCACGACCGCCGACCAGCCTTGCTGCTGCAGATGCTGGTCGTGGACAAGGCGCTCGCACAGCTGGATCTGCTCTTTGGCGCGCTCGTGCAGCTGCTGCGAAAGCATGGCGCGCCTGTGCACCGTGTTGAACGACGGCGGCAGATCTATGGCTTCTTTGATGCGCTCCGCGGTATCTAAGGGAGCATTTCACGAATAGAGGAAAGTCGCCTATTATGGAGTATGTGCAATGCACATTGTGCATGTATCTTTGCCCTCAAACTAGATACATCTATGTTTTATTGGACAAAGCACAACCCTGCTTAAAATACCCCATAGAGACCTATACAAAATAATCTATCGGGCGCTACCGGATTCAATATGTGCATTTGTCCATGGTTTTTTCCGGATACAGCCCGATAGAAAATGTATAGGAAATTACCTATAGGCACACCATAACTTTTACATTTTCCCTATTGAGACCGATAGAAAATAACTCAATGAAGGATATATAGGGATATCCCTATAGAGCAACCATAAAACATTTGACAAAATTTTATTAAAACCTATGGGGTCCTATAGGGAAAAAACTAATTTCTACATTTATGTGTATTTTCCCCATTGAAACCGATAGCAAATAAATCAATGGTGGATATCCCTATAGAACAACCATAAATCTCAACTATGGGTCCTATACAAACCGATACACCCTATAGAAACACCATACATCCCGATACAAATATCTATCGGTTTGAACAGGGTCTCTATGGGGTATTTTAAGCAGGGAACTACTAGGCTTGTATGGATTTATACTTAATATTAAAGCCATGTACCGATCAGCTGTTCTGTCATTTTTATTTATACGATTTAGTGGTGATATAAGTTTTAGCTGGTGCTTTTTAAAACGATTTTTTTGCAAATACAAGGTCTACAAGTCCTGGCTATTTGTTATGTATAGACTAATAGTAGGATTGCTAATATGTATTTGGTGTATATAGGTTTTTCTTTCTTAAACAAAAATATATCATTGTTTATTATTTGCCCAACGCTAACGTCAATATCACGTGCGATGCTTCTTGGGTTGTTTAGGTTATAATATATTTTAATTTGTTTTTGTTTTAAAAAAAATCTATTAGACAAGGTTTTAATGTGAATCTGGACATCAAATTCAGTTTTTTATAACTTATTTATAACTACGTTTTTTTATTTCAACACAATTTTAAAGTTAGGTTATTTTTCAACAAAATTTTTTTTACTATTTCTCTACCGAAATCTATGAGACCCGTATTTATTCTTATTGCTTCAATTTTTCACCCATAGGAAATTTTTGAAAAATGGCAGAAACATCGATTTTTCCCTTAAAATTTGATAACTTGGCCAAAACTGTTTCGATCGTTACAATTTTATTTTAAATTGTAGATAAATGTTTACTACATATAAAACAAATTAAGTGAATTTATTCAATTAATTTTTAAATTGTTTTTTTTAAGAAGCCAAAAAAAAAAATTGAGGTCAAAATTTAGACCATTGCCACATTTTTTAGTACTTCATATTTTTTTTTTGTTTGAAGTTGATAATATGAACAACTTTCACTAAAAGTCCCGAGTTGGCTAAATTTGTCGTTTCGGAATTATTATTTTTTTTAATGAAAATGCCATTTTATAGTAAATTCGTGGTTCATCGCAAAAATTTGGTATTTTATCTAGGGTCATGAAACTGGGGTAACTTTTATAAAGTGTAATTAAAAACTTTTTGACATATTTAACATACTTTTGTCATTTCTGGTTTTACCGGAAATGCTCTTAACTAAGTAAATTAAATTATGCATATGCAATACGGCCTTGAAAACTTGATGGCAAGAAAAATTGCTGCAAGAAGAATTGCCGGCTGCAATACGGCTTTACAGTCAGCAATGGCAAGACAACTTGCTGTTTGTTACCGTGCTACCAACCGAAGAAAAAAATACGATTTTGTAAACACTAAGTTTATTTGTTATTTAGTAGAGATATTTAAAAATTAATGAGTGAAATGGATACTAGAACTTTGAACACAATGCCAATCACAAAACAAATAACCTTAAACTGTTTAAGTCAAACAGCGTCTCTCTAGGGAATTTGTAGTAGGGTTGCTAACATAAAAGTTACCAGATTTCACACCAGAATTGCCGTAAAACGGCAATAAAAATCCATCCAGACCGATTTTCGGCAATTGCAAGAGATTCGTCGAAATGTATCTACCGCGCATGCCTACGGCAATTTTCATTGCAATTGCCGAAAGAATTGCCGGCTGTAAAAGCCGTATTACAGCCGGCAATTCTTCTTGCTGCAATTTTTCTTGCATCAATTTTTCTTGCCATCTAGTTTTCAAGGCCGTCTTGCATGTTGTTTTACAGCCGGCAATGGCAAGAAAACTTGCTGTTTATTACCGAGCTACCAACCGAAGAAAAATATACGATTTTGTAAACACTAAGTTTATTTGTTATTTAGTAGGGATATTTAAAAATTAATGAGTAAAATGGATACTAGAACTTTGAACAAAATGCCAATCATAAAACAAATAACCTTAAACTGTTTAAGTCAAACAGCGTCTCTTTAGGGAATTTGTAGTAGGGTTGGTAACATAAAAGTTACCAAATTTCACCCCAGAATTGCCGTGAAACGGCAATAAAAATCCATCCGGACCGATTTTCGGCAATTGCAAGAGATTCGTCGAAATGTCTCAGCCGCGCATGCCTATGGCAATTTTCATTGCAATTGCCGAAAGAATTGCCGGCTGTAATACGGTCTTAAAGGCCGCATTACAGCCGGCAATTCTTCTTGCAGCAATTTTTCTTGCAGCAATTATTCTTGCCATCAAGTTTTCAAGGCCGTATTGCATGTTGTTTTACAGTCAGCAATGGCAAGACAACTTGCTGTTTATTACCGTGCTACCAACCGAAGAAAAATATAAGATTTTGTAAACACTAAGTTTATTTGTTATTTAGTAGAGATATTTAAAAATTAATGAGTAAAATGGATACTGGAACTTTGAACAAAATGTCAACCATAAAACAAATAACCTTAAACTGTTTAAGTCAAACAGCGTCTCTTTAGGGAGTTTGTAGTAGGGTTGGTAACATAAAAGTTACCAGATTTCACCCCCGAATTGCCGTGAAACGGCAATAAAAATCCATCCGGACCGATTTTCGGCAATTGCAAGAGATTCGTCGAAATGTATCTACCGCGCATGCCTACGGCAATTTTCATTGCAATTGCCGAAAGAATTGCCGGCCTTAAAAGTAATGAATCGAATTCACAAGAAACTTATAAAAACGCGATTTCAAAGAAATGTAGAACACAAACAATTCCGAGAAATTTTGGTCGGTTAACAGATATTCTTTATGACTGAGGCTCTATCAGGAAGGAAAATAAGTATTAAGCCTAAGAGGTCCAATAACAAATTTTTATTTGATTTCATATTTTGTTTTTTATGCCAAATGCCAGCCAAAAAAAGGATATTTTTTCCAGACTACTTGCACAGTTAGTAAAAACAGCATTTTGAAGAAAAAAAAATATATATATATATACTCTCTGAAACTTATTTTTAAATAATACTAGCTATGTTCAAATAAATAATAATAAACGCCCCAACAGCGAAACACTGTGCGGAAAAAATTAGAGGGTAGGTACAATTGCACTTGCTATATACTTCTTATGTTCATGTTCATGGAACTTTGGTAAGAATGCCTAAAATAGGTAAACTTGGTTTGCCAATACCATGGCGCTAGGATTATTTTCGTAACACTTTTACTACTGTGTATCAAAATTTGTACACAACAGGCTAAGTGTGTGAGTGAAATTAAGAATCTATTAAACAACGGGATAAAATGTTTGATTTGATTCTTACCATCTTCTATGTCGCTATCACTATTGGACGAAGGTGGCACCGGAGCTTCGAGCACAGCCTTGCTAAAGAGGAAAATCGGGTTCGTGTCCGTGCCGGCGGCATACGAACCAATACTGTTTGCCGCGTCCAGACATTCGCCTCCGCTTATCAACAGGACCTGTTTTTCCACCGGTATGTTTGTTGATTTTTCGACGGCCTCTTTTAGGTGTCCGACACTAAAAAAATAGTATAACTAGGAAAAATAGTTCTGAAATAGTTTGTTTTAACCGGTACGTATTAAACCGTATAACTATTAACTAAAATTTGTATACGGTATAAAAAATAATAATACAAAATGTATACAATTTTCGGAAAATTAAATACAAATTTTAGTTATTGAAGGGATAATATCTACATACGGAGACTGCTTAATACAGTTATATTAATTATTCTTTCATGAACAAAATTCAACAAAAAATGACAATTTGAAAATTTTATTTATTTTAGTAGTTTTTAAGAAGTTTATTAAATTTGTTTTTTTAAACATCAAAATTTAAAAAAAAATCAACACAAAAACTGGACTCGAAAAAAATTATGGGCGATTTGAAATGGAAATAAATATAATTGAAGTAAACAAAACATATAATATAAAAATCATGCCTCTGGCAATTATAAAAGGTATTTTTACTATTGTATCATTCCTCTGATTTTCAAGTAACTCATCTGGTAACATTTTTTATTATATAAATAAACTTTTTTGTATGCTACACTATGAAAATTTTAAATTTTTTATTTAGTTAATTTAGTATTTGACCAAGAAGAAAATAAACATGTTTCATTATTTCCGATAAAGAATTTGTAAAAAATATTGACCCAAAAAAATGTTAACTGGGCGATTAGAAACGGAAATAAACAAAACATATAATTCTGACTAAAAATCATTTTTACTGTTGTATCCCATACAGCACAAAGACGTACAAATGACGTCCATATAACGTTAATTTTTGTGCTTGTGGACGTACATTGAACGTCCATCGACATACATCGGACGTCCTACGGATGTCCATTTAAGGTCGCTTTGTCACAGTTTTGGACGTCCATTAGATGTTACTTACGGACGTACATTTAATGTAAGCAATGGACGTGCTTATTTCACTGCAGCGGGTAGGTTAAATAAAAAGTCCTTAATTTCAATAAACTGTTTATAACTATAAATAACAATATTTAAACATTTAAATTTAGAGCTTGCTATATATAAAGCCCCTAATTTAACATTAGGTAATAAACGTGTTAAAACAGTATATACTTGGTATACTGTTTTAACTCGTTTTTTTTAAACATACATTGCAATTTTTTATTTTTATTACAGATAAGTACTATGTTTCACCAAATACTGGACAGGGTGTCCAAAATTGGTTGTCCCGTATAGGCTATCTCAGTAAATATAAATGCTAGAAAAAATTCGACCACGCATCCCCGTCCTCTTTTTTAAAGATACATTGAATGATGTCTTTGAATTTTCTCGATTTGCATTTGTTTAGGAGATATAACCTATTTTTCAATTTTTGCCAAATTCTTATAGCTCTGTTAATATTTGAGTTACGAATACAGGAATAATACATTGTTTATTTTAAACCTTTAAAAAAATTTTCAAATGCCACTGGTCTAACCCCCCCGAAATTTTAGTCTAGATACGGCCCTGACATTGCTGGACTTTACTTTCTGATCAAAAATGAATACGTCCATTATTAGACGTATTATGGATGTATTTACTACTATGTCCATGGGATCATTCTTCTGCTTTTCAAGTAACTCATTTGATAACATACCTAAAGGGTGTATCAATAAGAGCGCAAGATTTGAATTTCGCCTCAGTTTGGCAATCATGATGTTACATGATTAATGACATGACAGATTGATAGGAGACAGATGGAAGTTAGTAAATATAGAGCATTACACGATAGAACAACCGGTCCTGATTGTTAAACACTATTATCAAAATGATGAAAGTTTGATTGCCATGATTCGTAAAGGGCGTCCAATATTTTTTCGAAATAATGTTCCTAATTCATCTACTGTGAAAAGAATAATCGAAAAATTTGAAAGCACTGCTTCGGTTAGTGATGTGAAACACACGACACGAGCTCGTTCAGAACAAAATGTCGCAGCAGTTCGCAAGAGTGTGGCCGAGAGTCCAGAGACGTCGATTTGCCATCGTGCACAAGAATTGGACATTACAAAAGCCACTCTTCGGCGAATTCTTACTTAAGATTTGCATCTTCATGCCTACAAAGTCCAATTGACTCAACAACTCCAGCCAAAAGACCATGAACAGCGAAGAGAGTTCACCAATTGGATCCTTGAGCAGCAAGAAGTGAATGCCGACAAAATCATTTTCAGTGATGAGGCCCATTTTCACCACTATTTAACACCCTTGGACTTTTGGCTGTGGGGTTATTTGAAGTCACAAGTTTATGCCAACAAGCCCGCCACCATCGAAGCCTTAAAAGCAGAAATTAGACGCCTATCAACGAAATACCGCCACATGTATTCAATAATGTTATTGCAAATTTTGCCAAAAGAATACGCTTGTGCCAGTTAAGCCGTGGTGGCCATTTACCAGATGTGTTATTTTATACATAATTTCCAAATGTGTACTTTATAAATCAATAAATATTTCAATGCTTTAATACTTAAAACCATGTTTTACTAAACTTTGAAATCTTGCGCTCTTATTGATACACCCTTTATTTGCATTAAATAAATTAACTTGTTTTTGTAGGCAATATTATACAAAATTTAAATTCTTTATTTAACTAGTTTAATATTTGATAAATAAAAAAATAAACAGGTTTTATTAGCATATAAAGAATTTGCAAAAATTGACACGAAAAAATTACCTAGGTATGAGATTTTTAGTGAAAAGAATACTACTACATTCTATAACAAGTTTGGAATACGGCGTATTTCGCACGAGTGAAAAGTTTGTCACACGAAGGCGAGTTTGACGATTTCACGAGAGCGGAATAAGCAATTCCAAACGTGTTTCAGACTATAATTTTTCTACGTTTTCAAAATATACCATAGACAAGTAATTTTATTGGCAAAAAGTGAGGTTGGATCGGTCTAAATTTGTTAGATATTAAACACAGAGATGTCGCCACCAGTGTTCATTCCGTCATTCGATGACGGAATAATTCATTTTGTAATACTTTCAGGAATATATGTCATTCATCATTAAAAAGTGATTAGAACGGTCATATACCGTATTTGGAGTAGAAAAAAGTTATCATATAATAAACATAAGTGTTTATTCCGTCATCCGATGAACACTTTAAGGAATATATGTTATTCCACATTCAAAAGTGATATTAGAATGGTCATATACCGTAATAGGTATAAAAAATATAATTCAAGTCAACAAAATATATAATTCTGTTTATCACTAAAAATCATTCCTCTGACAATTTTTAAGCTGTTTTATAGGCATTTTATTATCATTTTTTTTATTAAATTTTATACCTACTCTTTATAATTATTGTTTTTTTCTATCAAGTTTTTTAACAAATTTAAATTAAAATACAAAATTTATAAATTTTGGTCGGTAATATAGCATTTAAATGCCATAAAATTAAGTTTTTTTGTAACTCAAGTATAAAAAGTAAAACATAATCTTCATTACTTTAAAATTATAAAATAATTATTACAAAAATCTATAATAATACATAATATATAAAATTTGTTGTTAATTATTTGGCTTAAGCCACAAAATACATTATACGTATTAATGAAATAAAATAAACTACATATAAATTTAAACATTAATTAAATAATATTTTTAAAATATTAATGTAATATCATTAATTAAGATGTGACTTTTTACTCAATGGTAATATGCTTGTATTTAGAACTGTTTATTATTATAAGTTTCAGAATTGTAGATAACCCAATATTCTCAAAATTTGTTATAACTTTAACACAATACCACCAGACAAAAAAATATTAAAAATAATTTCCATTGTGCTTTATTTATTTACATTATCTATTGCAGCCTTTAAAATATACGTAAATATGTATGGTGTTGCGCTAATTAATTCACTTCATAAATACTGATAGCGCAATCTATCTAACTCATCGACCAAAAGATGTACTTTTTACAACGTTTTGAACGATAGCAAGTTCAATAGCAGCATATAAAAATAAAAACTGTAGTAAGGTAAATGAACCAAAATATTTACACAGAGCATTTACATTTACTCTGGGGATTATTAATTTAAAAAAAAACGTTTAAAATTTGCACACATGGAATATTTTACTACTGTTTTCAAATCCTTGATAGACAACCTTGACTGGTCTAATGAATAATAAAAATGATGATAGTGGCACGCACATTTAATTCGAACGAAAATAAAACCACGTGGTCGAAATCTCTAACGATATTTTTATATTTTTTTAACTTGATGTTGATCGTATAGAACTCGTATGTATATACGTGCAATTTTACACGTGGTTTTGCCGATAATATACATAATTTAAGAAACACGTCGAAACAAGAAAATAGTTTCTCAGAATTTAATTCCGGTAAAATCTAAAAATATACATTTGTGTCAAAACGCAATTTAATGTTTGATAAAAAATAATTCCTCAAGATATGAATATATTTTTTAATCTTTACATATCTAGATGATCCAGTTTAAAAGAAAAATATTTTTTATTTTATAAAATACATTTAATGTTTTGCCGATAATATACATAATTTAAGAAACACGTCGAAACAAGAAAATAGTTTCTCAGAATTTAATTCCGGTAAAATCTAAAAATATACATTTGTGTCAAAACGCAATTTAATGTTTGATAAAAAATAATTCCTCAAGATATGAATATATTTTTTAATCTTTACATATCTAGATGATCCAGTTTAAAAGAAAAATATTTTTTATTTTATAAAATACATTTAATGTTTTTACAAAATATAATTAATAAAAATTATTTGATTATTTTGCTTTAAACAGTTTAATATTTTAATTGAAGGGTTTTCCCGATTTATTTATTTTTTAATAAACATTTTTTACATTTGGTAAAGAAAAATTTTAAAAAAATTGAGTCGTTATCATACTACCTAAATTGTATGAAAAACAAATTTATTTAGTAAATATCACTCACTAATTGGCAAAATACGACTTTGTTTACTAGCAACTATTGTTTTTAACACAAGAAACATAAATTATTTTCCAAC